TAGTTACAAGGGCTTGATTATTCTGCATTGCACATTTTTTTTATTTTGCTTTTGTTTTTGCTTGTATCGTAGCAGTGGCTGTGGGCTGTTGGGAATTGTCCTTATTCAGCACTGCAGCGGGGCTCCTTCAAGCACTTCAAAGCTCATTCTCCAGTGTCAGTTCAATTAGTTTCACAAGTTGGAGCAGAGAATAAGATCACTGATCGTATCCTGTTACAGTGGAGGACAGGCTGCTACAGACCTAACAAGAGGCTGGACTTGTGATTGCCCCTCACTCCCCCAGGTGCTGCATAACTGCATGGTGCCCAGTTAAGAAAAAGGAGAATGTTTTTACGTGACGTTTATCCCATGTCCATCCCTCTGCTGACTTTAATTTCAACAGACCTGAAATAGAAATCTTCCTTTTTGCTGTAGCTGTAATTGCCTTGGGTTGGACACTGGAGAGGCTCATTCACCTATGTAGGATGATAGAAGGTGCATGTGCTGCTCTTTCATCTGTTTCCATATAGCTGTGCACAAAAAAAAGAAGTGAGCTGTAGGTGTGATATCAGATCACTGCTCTGTACCATGACAAAGAATAGGTGTACCAGCACTACTTCAGCTGTTGCAAGATTAAAAGAGCTGTTACGTTAAGGATGATAATGTCTGGTTTGGCAAAAGAGCTGAGAGTTTGTCTAGGGTTGCAAAATATGTCCAGGTAAACTGTCTTCTTTAGTATGCAGTAGCATAAGCTTTAGTGACCTGGTGGATGTAGGATGCATGGAACTTGAATGCATTTCAGTTGTGAGCACTGCATGTATTGCATTTACAATCTCTGGGGTGTTCAGTCTCCCATTGTATCTGGGGTGCCTTCATGGGCTGTGTGTTTGTAAGTCATGGACTTGGTGGTGCTTCATATAAAGAAAATATGACCATTAAGTTGAATTATGGTGAGCTTAGTTTCTTCTTTTCTGATTTAATGTATTAATGTATTTCACACCCGGTGGCCCTTCAGCAGCTTGCAGGCTGGGTATGTAAATTGGGAGCTGCAAAGGATGGCTGATCCATTAATAGGTAGAATTTGATGCTCGTAGAAATGAATGCATTTAATGTTGCATGGCAATGGCATGCTTGAATTTTTAAGTCGCCTAAATATCTCTTGTTTGAATTCAGTGGCTCAGGCTATATTTGCTACGAAAGCAATGCTGATAGAGAGGCCATATGGTTCTAGAGGAGTGGTTGTTGTATCTGTGAGTATCACTTACACCGTTTGTGTATCAAATGTCATTCCAAAGAAGCTGTGAAAATGTGAAACCCAATATTTGAAAACAGAGCATCGCAGTTCAGATTCACGGTGTCCATAGGAATAAGTCCTTGGAGATGTGTTCGTGTGTTCATAAACTGTTCTTCAGGAAAAGACAAGTTTTATGCTTCCATGGTGGGATGTACGTGACTGAAAGGATTCTGTTGGTCTTTATGGATCTGCCACTGTGGGGTTTTAAACACCAGACAAAATCATGGCCCTTCTGAAGGGCCACCCCTTTGCTTCCTTTGGGCCCCATGCTGATTTCATTACTAATTTCAGAAGGGTAAGGACTTTTCCTGATTTTTATTTTATTTTTTTTAGTGTTTCTTTAGGCGTGAAGGTGTGGAAATATTTGTTTTCTTTTGAGGATTTTATTAAAGCAAACACAGCATATGCCAACATTGGGAAAGTGTTTATATGATAAATTTCAGTTTTCAAGCACGTGAATAACGTGGTGTAATGTTGAGAGGTGCACTCTGAAATCATTGCTGCTTCTCGCTTTTCCCTGAGCTCTGAGACACAAACACTTCAGCTCTTCATCTCTTATTGCCAACCTGGGATGAGGGTTGGAAGCAGCAAATATGCAGAGAATGTTGTGATCTGCACTGCAGAGTTGTGGCAAGGGGAAAGATCATTCAAGTCTGGATATTCCTTTTTCCCCATGGTTTCTATGGTTATTTTAATTAGTGAAGCACCAAGCTTTGGGTGGAGGCAGCAGGGATTTGCAGTCTGCTATGGGTTGGTAGCTGTGGTAGTTTGCGTGGTAACTGTGCTGAAGTTCTGCTATTGCCTGAGTAACCCTATTTTTGAAGATGGCTTCTGCTGAAATATCTGTACATAGGAAGAGCTGAATGAAAAGCACACTTCTTCCCTCTCTGATGGGGAAATACTCAGACTCACAGTTCACATCTCGTACCAGTGGCAGGTTTGTGTTTATCCTGTGTGGAACAGAAGTAATGCAGATCCCAGAGCAGCTTTACAGCTGGGCCATGGTACTTGCTTTCAAATGAGAAGAAATAGTGAGACTGTCACTGCCTCACATCTGTTGCTGCAGGTGCAGTGTAGTTACTGTCCAGTGCATGTCTATATGTAGTGGTTACTGTGGGGCTAAACAACATGAAAAGTCTTACCTGTATGTCTCCTGTCCAGCTCCTCCAAGACTTTCACTGTGATGAGCAGAACCTGGTTGTATTCATTTTCCATCTATCCTCTCATTCCTCATCTTTGCTATCGTTAATTGTTAGCATCTGGCTTGAAAGATTGCCTCTTAGAACGGTGCTGATGGGGCGCTTCCACAGGGGATTAAGGCTGGACTGGATTGACGAGGGGCGGTCTCCTTGCAGAGGGCAGTTTGCCAGTTGTGTGCAGGCTCATTGCTGCTGCTCTTCCAGTTACTCCAGTTCATGTCAGGTCACAGGCAAGAACTGGTTGCAGCTCCACTCCCTCACTGCAGCCAGCTGCTGAGATGTGGCCTCGTGCACCCAGCAGCTGTGTGGCTCTACAAGACTCTCTTTACTTCAGCTGCATCACCCCATGGAAGTGTTGTCATACCTGCATCATTGGGTGGTTTTCTACTGTGCAATTGCAGTGCTTTGATCAAGGATGTGGGTAATGATAACAGCACTGTGGGGCAGGGGCAGTAGTTGAGATGTCATTTCTTACTGTAACGTGCTCCCTAGGGGGCAATGTGTCTGTGAATCACACAAGTGCTTTCCTGCAGCTTTGCTTGCTTTCTGTTACCAGTTTGGCTGCCAGGATCTCAGAAAGCACAGGCTCCTGCACTTCTAAAAGTACTTTGCCTGTATTTCCAATGCCCTGAAGCACAGCTGAAGGCCCCACTAAGCTCACTGAATCCAGGCCTTGAGAGATTATATTTCTTTTTGCTTTCTTTGGTTTGCTTTCCTGTGGAGTCTGCCTTTTCCTTTACATGCACAAAATGCTGGGGAGAATCCGCTGACATTTCAGAAGATAGGAGCTTTCCTCTTGCTCTGTTGGTTTTCTGATCTGCCCCTAACAAGGCCTCGGAATCTCTTGTCCTTTCCCAAAGGAGATGTATGTCCTACCATTAAGCAAACTGAATCTGTTTCCTTGCAAGGACACTGTGGGGCCTGAAGGCACCTTACGTCTAATAAGTCTGTAAATTTAAATCTCAAAGACAAATGAGTAAAACCAGCAGAGTTTGCAACAAAGGGCTCAATTTTTAGGGCTTCTTGGGGGTAATGTTGAAAGTTATACACAGAGTTTAGAAATGTTGAATTATTATTATTATTATTATTATTATTATTATATGAAAATCCCACTGGCTTGTATTCCTCTGTCATTTTAAGCTCTTTGAGATAGCATCTCTTTTATTTCTTTCATTAAAGGTGTTCTTACCGAACTGTGAAGTAGGAATTGTAACACTGCTTGTTATTTCATTGCCCAGGTGTTCTTCATCCCATGTCCTTTCGGCTTTCCCCAGCTCTCCCTCCTTTCCCTCCTCAGCTCGCCTTGAAGGGCTGGGAAAGCCGGCACTGCTGCATTATGTTGCCTGTCTGATTGTTGTGGGGTTGTGTTTGTGCAGGGGAAGGTCACGGAACAAAAAGACCACCAGGCAGGGGTGGGCAGGGGGGTTCAGTCCCTCTCCTTTCAGTCCCTGTGGCAGTGGGTGGGAAGAGTCTTGTTTGTATGACAGGATTTCAGGGGCTGATGACTTTTTGTTTAGGTTTCTTCCGTGGCTGCTACACGGGCCCTGGAAGGCTACAACAATAGAGTGCTTGTATGAGATTCGTGGGGCTGAAAAGCGCTGAGGTAACCCAGAGCTGTCATTGCAGGGCTGGGTGTGTGGATGCTCTGGGTGAGGTGTTTGTGTCATGTCCAGATTTGGCTCTGCAGAAACTCTTCTGGGATGCCCAAACTCTGTGGACTGAGATCCTTAGCTGGATAAATGCTGCGAAACTTTCTCTTTTTGTAGAATGAAGGTTGTAAGGTGGGGAGACAGCTCCATGGATCTGTTGTATGGCTATGCTTCCCTGAGTATTTTTCAGACTTCAGTCAATGATTTTTATTTGCAGTATCTGCCTCCTTCCTTGCCCATCAGCTCTACATTTCCAAGAGCATTACTGCTTTTAGACAGGACTTGCTTCCCTATCATCACTGTCCTCTCAGCCCTCTCTTGCCCTCCACCCTTACAAAACATCTCAGTCTGTATTTACTGTTGACTTATACAAAGACCAACATTGTCAGGGAGTCATTGCAACTGGCCTGAGTTAATTGTCCTGTAAAAGGATTGACTAGCCTGTGGTAGTGGTTTTGCCTTGGCTGTCTGATATGGGACACTTAGATCTGGGGAGCAGGAAAGAGCTAGAATTCCATCTGGATGTGGGTTGGGGGGAGGGGGGCAGTTTGGTTCCTTCCTTCATGGATGCTGCAGCAGCCCTTTCTGGAAGGGGATGACTTGTCAGTCACTAGCTGCTGGCAGCAAAGTCTGTCTGATTCAGAGGTAACAGCTGCAACTTCCCAGAGATGTAGATTCCAGCAACCTCCAGCATGCCTGAGCTCCTGAATGTCCCAACTAAGAAATCTGTCTTCTGCATAGTATTTATGTATGTAAGCATTTGTTTTTAGTAGATGCTGACCCTGTTTGAATGCTTCTAGACTAAATAGTGAACTGCCTTGTGTTGTCATTCCCCACAGTACTTGTAACCTCTCCTGCCTGTGTTTGGATTTCTTCCAGAGAGCTAGCCGTTCCTGCAGGCAGGCACTAAAGGGAGAGGAAGGCAGCTGGGATGGAGTGCAAATCAGGAAGCAGGCTGAACTGGTATGATCTTTTGACCCAAAGCAATGGCTGGTGCTGTTAGAGCTTGCTTGAACTGCAGCAGCTGCGCAGCTCACATTCCTTTCATTAAATTGAGAATTATTCATATTTTCTCACCCTCCTGCCTAGTGCTGTATGTAATGTGATGTGCTAGTACCCAGGCTAATAGATAGAAAACTAAGACACTCTTCTGTTCGCAATTACATTTCTTCATGGGCTCAACTGTCCTGTGAAGCTGCAATGTTCAAAGCTTGCCAGAGCATCCTTTCTACAAACTCTTGCTGTCCCTCTAGCACTGCTGTATGCTTGTGTATTCCTGTGCAAACACACATCAGCCTCACGTCCCTGCTGTCTCCAACAGAGACTCACTTGGACATCTCATCTGTAGATATCATCAACCTCAATATACTTCCTGGGAGTGCTTTGACCTTTTGTCTGTTTTAAACCCTACTTAAAAATCCCCCCATGAATGTTTGGCAATTTCCAATTTTTACTAGTCTGTTACTAGGTAGGAGTGCTACATGGAGGTGGCTGGAGCAGAAACAACTCATTTCATTTACAGTCATGTTTTAAGTCTCCTGCATCCTTGGGTGAATTAGGCCACTGCCCTGGGTTCACATTACCTAAACACAAAAGACAATTTTCTAATGAAAAGCTTTAAAAATGTTATTGCCCACTATATTGACCTTATGGAATTTGAGGGAATTTCCTCTAAATGATCAGTGTTGAAAGCTAAGGCAGATTCACGGGAAAGTCTTGGCATGACTGAAATCTCCAAATTTTACCTGGAAAGGTTTGTTTTGAAAACATTATTCTGGTGTTAGAAATTGGTGGGAAGCTCTGTAGACAACACAGATGATAAGCAGTGTTTCTGTGTTGCACATGCAAACTGTATGTAGTTGGACAGCGTTACACTTGCATCTGTTGGGTTGATCCTTGTAATTATCTTGCTGCTTTATCCCACCAGCTATTTCCACGTCAGTGACTCAGTTTTGCTACAATCCCTTTTGATGGGGGCTGTTTGGCCTTTGGTGGCTGCTGTTTGAGTTGTGCTGGGTTCATGAGAATCTGCTGACTGGGGGCAAAGAAGGTGTCTGATGGTAGAGGGATTATGCAGGGGTAGACGATGGTAACACTGTCTGCTCCAGGCAGCTTTTCTGCTCCTGGATTAAAGTTCATGCTGTGTTACTTGTCTCCCTCTCTTTAAGGCCTTGTCAAGTCTGTGTGGGAAGCTATTCTGTTTGCAGTGTTTAACTGTGTGCTGCTCTGCTCTCTCTCTGCCTCATTTCTCCTCCCTCTTCCCCCTTCCATTCAAGCAGCATCTTTCACTCTTTCCATTCAGGCCTGTCTTTGCTCTCTGCCCTATGTAAAGCTCTGTGCCTTCCTTACCATTCATCACCTTTTTGCTCATTCACATCCCTGCCTGCCTTTCTCCATTCATCTGGGCTTCCTCTCAGCCTGCCTGGGCTGCCCTCTCCTCCTGCCCCTTCCCCAGTTCTCCTTTTGTGTCTGTGCTCTCCTTTTTCTGTGACCATCCAATCTGCAGCAGTCTGCAGCAAGCTCTATGAGGATGGTCTGCTAGAAGTTCATCTCTCTTGGTGGTCTAATTAATCCCCAGTGGGACTGTTTGAGGAAGATTTCTCTCTTGCAGGTGAGAAGGCTCTTCCCACTTCCCAGCGTTGCAAGAATGATGCATGAATCAGAGAAGTATTGCCATGTCCTAAATGTCATTTTCAGTCTGGTCTTCCTGTCCCTCCGTCCTGCCTTGTTTTCTCCTTTGTTTTCAGCTGTTGCAGTTCTGGGGTTGGGGAGTTGAGTCACTTTAAATTTTCTATTGCTGAGGAATGTGACTTCTATTCTCTCAATTACGGTAGCTCTCTAATTATGGTTGTTAACCTGTATCTTTGCTTATTTCTTCTAAAGTCTGTATTTGGGCTGTTTGTTGTTGTTGGAAATGTTAGAACCTAGACCAGCAAAGCATGCAAAGACAAAGCTATGTGGAGATTTGGCCTGTGGTTGTCCAGTTAGTCAGCAGGGCTGGACTGGTGATGTAAGATTTATGACTTTCAAGACTGAGCTGTAAGCTGCCCTGCTTGCCTGGCCTGTTGCATTTGTTGAGGATGTCTATCCAACAAAATGTGCAATATGACCAGCCCAGGGTCAAGATTAAAAACCATATTTCCATCTAAAAATAAATAAATAACATTGTTTCAGTGCCTCGGCTTCTTTCCATTAGTCTTAATGCAGTTTCATAAATAATAGAAGAGGAAGAAGCAGAGCTGGAGAAGGCTGAGTCTATAAACACATCTTTGTGCATGAAGTCTTGTGGCAGAATGGAGGGCATCTCCTGCCATCCGTGCCATCTCATTAATCATGTAATTATCTCCCTCACTTTCAGTGCTACGTCGTCTTCCTCATCAGTGTTGCTGATAATGGAACTTCTGTTTACCCTGGCTTCTTTTTAGGGTGTGGCTTTGGTTTCAAAGCCTGCACGGTGGCCTATTTTGAATAATTTAGTTCTGGGTGGCTTGAAGGCTTTGTAATTTGTGTTCTGCCAGGAGGCTGATCTGGAGCACGGCAACAGGGTTGCTCAGAGTGGTGGGTCATTGAGGCAGCAGAAGACTGAAAGCTGATTCAGCAGGCCCTGTGAGTGCATCTTGGCTCTCTCCTCTCTGTGTCTCTGGAGGACTTGCATTCTGAATCCCACAGACATAGGAAGGAGAAGGAAGAGAGCTGCATTTAAAAATGTTCTTGGTGGTGGAAATGTGGATTTTGGGTACTTGCCTGAGCATGATAGGCTTTCCCAGCAGGGAAAGAATTTCCTGGGGTCTCTGAATGCAGGCTTTGCTTAGTCTGTTGTATATCGGTAGTTGCTTGGACCAGGATCTAAAATTCTACAGCCAGGGAAGTAAGGGCAGGAGTTCTTTGTGGTGTCTGGCTGATGGGCCCTTGTCCCAGTCGTCACTGGCTTTGGTTCTGGAAAGGCTGATTAGTTTCTCTATGTGAAACCTTGGCAGAAGGCCATCTGTGTTCATGTTCTCCCCGTACTGCTTGGCCTTGTGGCTTGCTAATTGCACTTTGTTGTTGTAGTTATCACCCTGTCATGCTCTGTAACTGCTACCCAGCACTCACTGTGCAGGGCCATGAAGGCACAGCTACATCGCTTTTGCCTTGTAGACAGGGATGTCAAGGCACTCTGAGAGACTTGTTGGCTCACTCCAGAAGTCTGCAATACCAAGGATCAAACCTTCCCAAAACCTTCTTTCCTGTTTGCTTAATAACTCTACAGTGGTGCATTCCTGAATCTCCAAAGAAAAGGGCATCCTAGACCAGCTCCCTCCATTTCCACTTTGCCATGTGCTGCACACAGAGGAATGGTTACACACATCCAGGTGATGGGCTGTGTGTTCTGCAGACACTGCAAATGCTGAGCTGGAGAGTATTTTGCTCTCTTACAGCAGCTCTCCTATGGAGTGGGTGATGTCTAGGGGCCCTGTCTGGTGAGTTAGTGAGGTTATTTCTTTTGTGCTTAAATATAATCTGGCTTTTGAGAGCTGGGTGATGTTTCCAGCCCTCAAGTTCACCTCAGGTCAAAGCAATCTAGCATGTGTTAAAAGTACAGCTGGACAGCCCGTAATCACTTCGTATTGACTGAGCAGTGGTGGTTGAATTCATTGTTAACAAAGGAAGAGAGTGTACATCACTGAAGCCAGCACTAACATTTTGCCACACATGTTCATGAGACTCGGATTTGGTGACTTAATGGTGAAAAGATGAATTTTGAGGTGAAAGGGTATACATTGGGCTTCATCTCTTCTGGATTAGGGTTCCTCCTCACATGTGCACTTCATCCTGTTAGAAGAGACAGCAGGATCATTAAGTTGTTGGGAAAGTCATTGCCACCAGATAGTGATGAAACTCTTAAAGCAGACCTTTCTCCTGCCCTCCCCTAGATATTATGAGGCAGTTCCATCTTCTGCCTTGTCATTCCTTTAATTTTCATCAAAGCATGAAATGCTACATATCCTTGCATGTTTAAAAAAAAAAAAAAAAAAAGTGAGCTCCCAGCATGACTCCAGAGACTGTGAAAAGATAGCGAATGAGCTGCTCTGATAAGATATCTAACTTATCTTCAGGAGATCTTCAATGCCAATCCTACATATCTTTTCACAGCCTGGACTTGGAGTCTGTCAAATTCACGTGTTGACTCGGGGTCTGTTGCTTTTACTATAGCATGGCCCTTGAGGCTGGAGGTGGTCTGAGTTCCCAGTGCACGTTAGCATCTGTAGATTGCAGAGACTGTGCTCTATAATGGTCGTAAGTTCAAAGCCAGCAAACTCTGAGTTCTTTCTGAACCCATCAGAGATGAAAAAATAACACAGTTGGCTCTCCTTTCTAGTGCCAGTCATGGGAAGAAGCCTACATGTGAGCAAGAAGCAGGCCTTCTATTGACAGCTCCTTTGTGGTGAAGATAAAGCAGCAGTTGCCATTTCTATGTCTCAAGAGGAGCGGCTAAAACTCGGGGCAATTTCTTTTCGGAACCTGCCTCTTAGTGCAGAGCAGAGCTGGGGGCAGTGCCAGGAGGCCTGACAGCCAGGCTGGTCTCTTCCACAAGTGAAGGCATTGCTGAACCATGAAACAATTCTATTTTGAAGGGAGTAATTCAATCCCCAGCTAACATCCAAATTAGATAAATTTCTTGGAGCCTTGCCCATTATGAAGAGAGCTTATGATTGGAGTGACATATTCTCTCCATGCCAAGACAAAGCCCCTCAATGTGAGAAACCACGGTTGGTAGGAAATTCTCTGCTCCTGGGTCAGATCTGCAACTCCAAACCCAGCCAAGCACCAGTGTGCCCAGTTCAGCTGTTGACTCTCCAGCTGCACTGATGCCCCAGAGGGCTGTTTGCCACGGAGCAGAGAAGCAGCTGGCCGTGCTTTGTGAAGTGTCTGCCTTTTCCCAAGACACCAATTGTCTGTCTGCAGCATCAGCCTCCACCCTACTTGCTCACTCAGCCGTGGCTGATGTGTCTTTAATTAAAGAGGAGGAACAATGTGGGATTATTTTCTTTCCTAATCTGGTTTCCTACTTCTATTCAGGTTTTGAGCCCCCTCCTCTTATTTTTGTTTTGCAGTGCTGTCCTTACTTTTATGAACTATTTGCTCTAAAATAAGAAATAGGAAAACAAACAAAAAAACCCAGGTTGTTTGGGCTAGGGAATTAAGATCTTGGGTCAGATGGCTGCTGCAGTCATTAACATATTTACATTTTTGCTTAAGAGCCTGGTTGAGGATCAAGGGAGTTAAGAGTGATTGTCATTGAAATCTGGAGGAAACCTTGCATGAAATTGCCGTTAGTATCCCGTTGTTTGGGAGAAGAGGGGGGCAGTCGGCCTTCCTTAGCCCTGCAGTGGTTGGGTTGCACTTGTCTGTCCAAGTACGTGTACGTTTAGCAGAGGCCGAAGTAACCAAGCTTGAGGAAGCCACTGGGCTGCCTTGGTGCTGGGAGGCTCAGCCCTGTGGGGCTGGGGCTCAGTGCAGCCTCTCTGAGACAAAGGTGCTTGACTGAGCTTGTGGGAGAAGTGGATCATCATGGATAAATACATGAAGCGCCTAGCAAAGGTCAGTTGCCTCTTTTTTTTTAATTGATGGACCCAATTGTTGTGAGCGTGCTGTCACAGCTTGCTTTTGCTGTGCATGGAGAGGCTTGTTCTGCAGGACTGGCTCAACTCCTCGATTTCTGTGTTTAGCTGCAATATCGGAAGCGGGTTTGAGGTGGTTTGCTGTGTTGGGATGGATTTTGAGTGTTGTGGAGACAGATGAGTTTAAAGTGTCTTGATTTGATTTGATAGAAAAAATACTTAAAAATAAGAGAATTCTCTTACAGATGGGGTTTACAGTAAAACATTCTGTTCCAGGTTGTCAATGGAAGCTGTATTCTAGTCCTGTTCTGAGGCAGACATTTTCAGTTCAGATGCCACTTATTTACTGTTCTCTTTCACGCTGCCCAAATCCGAAGTTTTATTTCCAACTTATTTCTAATTGTTATCATTAGCTTAGCCAAAATGAAAATTACACATAGTAATGTGAAAGAGGGAAACGTGCTGCCTAAGGCAGTGACAGCGTGTTGATGTCTGACGCTGGGTTGGTGAGAGAAGCAGCAGAACCTTGTGTCCTTGTGGGCTGGTTCGAAGTTTGGAACTGCTTATGTAATCTCTGCTCCTGGTCACTAAGTGTCTCTTTTCAGCACGCTTTAAAGCAGAACAAAGACTGGGGAAAGTGTTTTGTGATCTGAGTAGCTCTGTGTGCTTTGGGAGCCTGCATGCTTCAGCACTTGTATCTCTTTTGACCTTTGAAGGAATATCGATGTTTCCCACTGCTGTGGCCATTGGTCTTTCTACAAAGTCAAAAAGTGAGCTCACAGCATGGGGGAGATTCCCACTCTTCTCTTACTGACCCTGGCCCTCAAGCTGGGAGGCATTTAAGCCTTCAAAGAGCAAAAGGTTTCATCCTAGACAAGATACATTCTAAATGCCCAGATCTACTTAAGTAGAGCTGTGGTTGGGCCAAACGTTTTTAGGAAACGAGGATGAAAACAGTACAGTCTGTGGGATAGCAGGTGTTAGTTCCATTCACTGAATGAGCCATCTCTCTGCTTCTGCTGATTCCCTTGAGAAAGGTCATCTCAGGTATTATGCTAATAATACTTATTTAATACCTATTTCCTTTATTTGCTTCTGGGATTAGGAATCGCAAAAGTCAGCTGCCTGCAACTTCCCAGCAAGAGCCAGAAAGTATCAGGGCTGAGCCTTGTGGAGAAGCCCTAACATTTGAATTGGTTTTAAGATTCAGTTTAATTCAAAGCATTAAATTGGGGTGACTGAAGTAGTGGAGCCAAACTTGTCCAGGGATTAATACTAAGCCCTTGTTTAACAGTAAACAGCTGATGGAATCCACCTTTGGCTCTGGGTGCCAACTGTCAGGAAGCATACATCCAGGCCACCTCACAAGGACAGAAGAACCCTTTGCAGATAGCGAGTACCCAGATCTGACTGCCTGCTGGTCATCTGGTTTGTCTTGTTTTGTGTAATCCAATTCCCCCAGCAGCTTCTGACAAAATATCTTGTTCCAGCAAGGGACTGTGATCTTCCCAGCTCCATTTAGGCAGCTCCTTCTCTACACAGCAGCCAGTGGTAGCAGTCACCAGTGGGAGAAAAGTACTTGGCTTAAGCCAGAAGGAACCAGCGCCAAGTCCTTCAAGTCCTCACACGTGGTGCTGCAGCCTCTAAACAAGCTGCCCGTGCTCGAGGATATTACTTCAGCTGTTCTGCTGATGGCAGAGCGGTGCCAGCCCTGCTGCTGGCAGGCTGCATCCTCTGCCACATCGCTCTGCTCACCCGCTCCCTTGCCAAGGCAGCCTTTACTCCGCTGTGTCTGATTGAAGGCCTGGCGCCTGCTCAGCTTTTGTTCTGTTAAGAAAGAGTGAGGATTGTCAGGAACTTTAGGGCTCTGCCAAGGCTCTTTATGTCCCAAATGTTACCATGAAAAGACTCTCTCCTGACCACCCTGCCCCTGACAGCCATTCAGTCTAGCCAACAAGCTCGATATCATTATCTACAAAAGGGGGCCAGTAAGCACCAGGCTGCTCAGAGCCAAGTTTGGGAAATCAAAGACAAATCTCCCAGCAACGAAGAGCTGGCAGAGCTCAGACTGCACCACGGCCAGTGCTGGATCGTCTGGCCGCTTGCATGCGCTCAGTTTCAAAGACAAAAGAAACAAACATGCTCAGCGTGGTGCCAGGGCAGGCTTTGCTGGGGCAGTGTGCCTGGTGGAGCACTGGCAGCCCTTGGCTGAGTGCCCTGGGGAGCTCCATGCCAGTTAGGGGCTGGAAGCAGTTCTAAGTTCAGACAACTTTGCAAAGCTGTCTCCTTTTGTTCAGTGTCACTTTCAGGAGATGAACCATTTGGACTGACAGAAAACAGTGACTTTTTTGGTCAGAGTGGGATTCCCTCTAAATCTCACCTGGGACTTTCTTTCTAATGAGTCTCATTTATATTCTGAAATAGGCATGTGGCTGCCTTGCTATTTATAGTTTGGCTTAATGCTTTGCTTTCTGTCCGAAGTCTTGTTCCAATTCATCTCTAAAGAGCTCTTCAGCATTGAAAGCACTTAAATGTTGAAGTTAGAGATGGTCTGGAAAGTTATCATGAAGACTGAACAGAAAGTACATGAGCAGGGATGATGATCCTGTGTTGAAATTGTGTTAGGAAAGATAGGTGTAAAACTCATTCCAGTATGCTTTGTCTCACAGGCTTCATCTCCCATCTGCTTGATAGTCCAGATAGAGTAGGGTATAAAAAATTGCCAAGAGAATTGATAGGGAGGGAGGGAGGGTGAGGAGAGACAACTTACCTGAAGCTTGTGTGGAAGTGGGATAATGACACATGGATTGGCTCATCTCTGCAACAGGGTGCTCTGTAGTTTCCTTGGCAGTAAAAAGAAGCCGAAGATCACTGGAGCATCCAGCAGCCCTCAGGATGCCTGTAGGTTTGCAGCACATAATGAATACATAGGAGGTCAGAGTTTTATGTAACATGGAATGGTTAATCCTGACGCTTTCCCTTCCTATTCCAGTTTGATCCTGACAACACCGGCTATATCAGCACGGAGAAGTTTCGTTCCCTTCTCCAGAGGCACGGCTCAGAGCTGGACCCCCACAAGCTGGAGGTCCTCTTGGCCCTGGCAGACAGCAACTCAGAGGGGCGGATCTGCTACCAGGACTTCGTCAACCTGGTGAGTGCTCTGGCTGGCAGGGCACAGCCGTCGTGGATCCAGGTTACAGACTCAATCAAGCAGTGTCAGTATGAAGATGAAATTATGGTGATATAGTGACATAAAATAGATCTACTGGATCTAACTAAAGTGTCTTAGCCCCCTGCATGTGTTTATGTATACAGAAAAATAATTGAAGGAATTATCAAATAGATCGCAGTGAGTTTGAGGTTTCCCTCAGCTCCAGCTTAATAAAGCGTGGTCAGTTGTGAATTTATAGTAACAGCTGCTTGTTCTACTCTTTGGTATATTCAAAACACCACGTAAGCATTAGCAGCACAGCACTTAGGCGGTGGGAAGAGGTATCTTCTGAGTTATTTTACAGAAATGATGGCCCAAGGCCAACCAGTGTGTTGGCAGCAGGCTCATGAATAGTGCTGGGCTTTTTCTCTCTTCTTACTCCACAGAACTCAGAGCTGTGCAAGCTAATGAGAGGTAGGTGGGAGGTGAAAGACATGGGCAGCAGCATTCTCCTTCTTTGGGAAATGGGAGACAGTAACAGTCCACATCCACCTGAAGTCATTTCTGCAGAATGGCAAATTTCCTTCACTCTATTGAGCGTCTCCTGTAAAGAAGCCATTGATTTTCTATCATCAGCTCTTCTATCCTCCTCATCTGCATTTGTTGCCCTTGCTAATCAATAGGTAAAGCAAATGCCAGAACGTTACTTACAAGTGGCATCTCTTTTCTCTCTCTTCCTCCAGTTGTTATCGATTTCCAACATGTAAAACTTGTAGGGCTTCTTCTTTCCCTAGTTTTTTGCTGCAAAACCTTCCTTGTGAACTTCCTGATAGAAAGCAACATCACAGTGGAAGCAGACAGAAATGGTACTGCGAAATTGGTGGAGCCGTCCTGATTCCCTTTATAGCTGTCAGTCTTGGTACAGGCAATGATGTGTAGTGAGGTTAAGTACAAGCTTTGTGCTTGATAATGATCAGTCATCTTTGTTTCTTGCTAAGGATCAAATCTCTAAAATGTCATTGATGATGTCATCAAACAGGGATCATTTCGACCTACTGACTGTAATAGGAAGTAGAGGTTGCATTTTATTTTATTTTTTTTTCTTCCAGTAAGTAACCAATAAACTTTAATGAGATTTTAAACTGACATAAGAAACTCAGAACTAGTAGCTGTGTCACCATTAAAATATATGTTGTCTTAGAGTTTTGCAGCTACTTCTGTCTGATGATGTGATGTTTTGTTGTTGCTTTTGTGTACGTGTTTTTGGCCGTTGCTCTGTAGACCTTCTACTGGCCAAGTGTGCTGCTAAAAGAGGACTTTAAGGCAGCTTCTCTGACTTGAGAGTTTTCTTTTTGCAGATAACTTGGAGCACAGCCTTACTGCCAGCAGTTGCCAAATGAAAAGTTCACATAATTTGTGTCTGTAAAAGAACTTTTCTGCAAACTCTCAACATACTGTTTTATCTTAACAGAGTGAAGGTGGGGCAATATCCCCAGCTGGACACAGGATTTAATAGGCAGTAGCCAGTCATGTCAGAAGGATCAGTTCTGCAAGGTGCTGAATCCCTCCTGCTGTTCCCTCAGCTCTCTTTACCCTCTTGCTCAAGCTGCTGCCTCCTTTTCTATTGCTTTTTAAGTCTTCAAAATGTGGCTGCTTGTAGCTGAAGACATTTGCCAGTACTGTATGGTTGAAGCCATTTGCTCATTTCAGGCACTCTGGTGATAAAAGCAGAGCTTGGTCTGTCCCCTGTGAGGATTCTGCGTGTGTGCCTTTAGATTTTTGTGGCTATCCTTTCTGCTTTGAAAGGAAAGTAACTCTAGCTCCTTGCAGTTCCAGTGCTTGTAATGGTAGCAGTTTTACTTGGGGGTACTTCCTCCAACTTGGCTTGAGCTGAAATGAGAAGAAAGAGGGGAAAGCGAGTCATTGCTGGGAAAAGAAAAACTTTTAACATTGAATTTTCTCTTCTGGCTTTGTTAGTGTGCATGTGATAGCATCAGGAGGGCTTTCTTATCTTTGTGGAGGTGAGCTTTTAAGAAGTTATACATTGTATTTTTTCCCCAGATAATAGGGGTTGAGAGAGGTCCTTTAAAACTTTTTTTTTTTTCTGATGGTGCTTAGAATTACTTCATAGTACAGTCACAGAACAGCTATAAATTCCACTTCCAGTGTCTTTCCTTGTCCTTTACTGAACCAGCTGACAACTTGCATTGAAGGCTTAGCTGAACAATGCTTTGCAGAAACTGCATAGAATTATTACCTGAGTCACTGGGAAAATGAGCAATAAACCCTAAATCTCTGATTCTCAGGGGAATCTTCAGTAAGACAAAAGTCTGCCTGAATGAATATCTCCTATTCCTGCTAAGTTCTTATTCACTTTCTAGTGAGTTTTTAAGCTCTCTGTTGCAAAATAATCCCAGTCTTCAATTTTAGTGGCCTTGTCTGATGAGAATATAATTATAAACACTAAACACTGTTGCTAACCTGAAAAGTCCTGTTACAGGAAAAGCTGCAGGTTTTGTGCCTCCTTCTCAGCTTCTTTGTGCTTCCCATTAGCTGCACAATTGAAGCAAATACTGTGACAAACATCAAGATGACTCCCATCACTGACATCAGTTTTTCCTTCAGTGTTCAGTGGGGCACCCTTTTAAGTGATTTCTCTGCCCTTGATTCACACTGTCCTGACTGAAACTATAGGACTCTTGAGTTCTTATCTTGGTCTTAGTTCAGAGATGTAATAAACATTTAATTTTAAAAGGGTTTGAAAATCTCTTACTTCTCTATTTGATCTAATATTATGCTATGCCGAGTAAGAAGCATGTTTTCTTAATAGACAAATGGTTCTGCAAAGTAATGGTCGTCTGATCGTGTCCCTGTCCATCCCTTATCTCCCTGTGTGTCAAAGCCCTTACTGGGGTGCAAAGTTCTCACTCCATGGAGCACATCCAGGAACCAGATACCCTCCTCACAAATGTACCTCACACTACCTTTGTGGTATTTTCCTTCCCATTTTGGAGGAAAGTGAGGGTTGTGTCATTTGTAGCACTCCAAGGGCCACGTGCATCTCCTGAGGGGAGAAAAGGTATCAGATGGTCAGGTGAGTATCTTGAAACTGAATAACTGGCATGGAAGAGCTGCTTTTGGAATCTGTTCCGCTGATGCATTGATCTGAGTCCATTAGGTACTGCCTGCATGTAGCAGCAGAAGAGAGCTCTTTCTTCCAAGTGAACTCGTATGGCAAATAATTGCTATGCCAACTGAAGTGAAGCTTAGCACAGAAATTTCCATCCTTAGCCATGATTCCTCATCTGTTTCCAATCAAGTGCATTTGAAACTTGAGAAACAAGATGTCAACTTAAATGGTCATTTTAATTGTGTATCTATCTAATGAACATAAGTGAATGGGAAATATTATAAAGGCTTTTTAAAATAAAAATGCTTCAGAAAATAAAATCTGGATTTCACTTCAGATGCAGAATCCTTCCCAGGACCAGTGAAAAAAATGGAACGTGTGTCAGGGTTTTGAGGTTTCAAAGTTTGTTGCGTTTTGACAGAACACAACTGATTTGAAACAGTAAGTTAGTCTTCGGCAAGTGCTCCTGTGCTTAACTTGAAATACAAACTCAGCTTATCTTTTCTAATGGAAGAGCTGGAAGCCTGGGATGGGCAAAACGTTGAGCAGGGAATACTCCTGCAGGAACAATAATAACTTATTTGGCTTCCCCTGCCTCTGACTTTCCATGAATTCCCAGAGGAAACCACTGCTTGGTCAGAGAAAATCAGGATGTTGTTTCCTCTAGTCTCCATTTGATACTTTTTGGGAAAGGACAGTGCCACCAGGTTGATGCAGAGGATATGAACATCTGTGACAGATAAACTTAACGCTGAGCTGTGTGTTTTGGGCAAAGCAGTCTTTAACCACATTAGCATTTCAGAGAAGTGACTAGTGGGGGAAGGAAATAAATGTGAATCTTGAAAGCAGAATTGATTGGAAAAGCTGCATTTGTGAGTAAAGTGGGTTATAAAACTGGAGCTGACAGAGGCTTTTAAAAAGCATGTGCTCACTTCTGATTTTAGTTTTCTGCCTCTTGGAGGAGCAGAGCTGGAGTGCTGAATGCCTTGCCTTGTCATGGTCTTGGATGTGTTTAAAAATAGCTGTAGACCAACCTCAAAGATGCCAATACCTGGTGGGCAGAAGTCCATGGTTCTCTAAGCCTCATGAATAGGGATGAATAAAACCCGTAAAGAGGGTACGGTGCCCCACACAAACTGTGCAACTGGGGTGGGGAAATACTGTATGATTTGGTTAGTAATTATCATACTCTTGTGCTGCAGCAGCAACAGTGGTACAGATAGCCAAGAAACCCAGAGAAATTGATCTGCTAGTGGGAATAACCAGATTGTGTTGCAAGTTATAGATTATCTGAGATTGATTCTAGACTGATATATCCTGAACAGAAGCAAGACTTTGTGCTCCTATGAAGTTTCCGCTGTCCCACACTAGGCTCTAGGGACTCATCCTAAATTTTAACAGTTTAAATATGGAAAACAGATTCATGTCTAAGTGGGCAAAAAATTATCCTTCCTATCAGCGCATCAAAGACACCCTTTGAGCAGAGCTAAGCCTTCTTTTGTTTTGGTATGTTAATAGCAAGGGCAGAGATGGCAGAGAGTGGTTACAGGTCATGTCAAACTGGCTGTTTTGCAAGAGAAATGTCTCTTTGCATAATAACTATTTGCAGGCATGAAAGACAAAGGGAATGTGCTGTTTCCTTTCTCCTAATTCCCTATATACTATTTTCTCTACCCATCTGCCTGCAACTTTAATATCATGCTCATTAAAGAAGTCCCACATCAATTGTATGAAGAGAAGTGGGGTGGGCTGCCCTGAGCTTCTGGGCTTGTAATAACATGCAGACCAACAATGGGCTAGTGTTCTTACAGCTGATGATTAAATACTTGGCTCATAAATACCAATATTATGTAATTCCAAAATTAAGTCAGCAAATTGTGACCATATGGGAGACTTTGGGAAGGTTTGGATATTTTAAAGTCACTCTGTGGAACAAAATAGGCTCCTTATTAAGAGTTGGTGAGAGTAGTGGTAGTGAGAGAATCTTCTGTCTTTTCCTTATGCCTTGGTTTCTCATCACCTAGCTTGAGATTAAAAGCATGATCCTAAGGCCTATGGAGTTACACGAGTAGGGCCAGGACTGTTGTGTTTGCTTGAGGTCCAGCACTCAGCCGTGCTGCCTCTTGGAGCTCCTTTCCCTGTTGGCATAGTGGTCAGTGGGTGCAGGTGGGGGCTGGCAGGATGTGCTTTTACTGAGAGGCCTAATTTTAACAAGGGGAGTACATCCAGTCGCTCGTATCTTAAGGATTGTGGGTGCTTTTGAGCATGTGTTTCTGATACTCTGTGTCCCTGCCTAATTTGGGTGTAAAACCATGCCAAGGCTATGAAGCTTTATAGAGAACCTGGCCTTCTTCCCATAGCCTTTGCTCAGAAGGAGATCTGGCAATTTTTTTTGTGTGTGTTTCTACCTGAGGTGGCAGGATGTTTAGCTAGATCTCTTAAGGGCTCTGAAGAGTTAGTTGTAATTACCAAAGGCTTTTGATTTTCTAGGTAAATTGAAACCTGGCTCCTACTGACACAGCACCTGCTGTTGTTGGTAGACACAGGGAATCTCTTTCTTACTCATTGCCAGTCGTCTTCCCTCTGAGGATCATGGTGTGAGTTGTAATCTGGGAAGAACACACTTGGTGCTGGATTTTTTCACATGCTTTGCAAGAGACTGCAGTGATTCAAGACTCTCCATTTCATTTGCGGGCAGTTTTGTCACTGCCTGTTTGCTAAGAGCTGATGAATTCCCAGCACACCTCCTGTTTAGCCACCTAAGAAGTTGGTTTCAAATGTCTTCTCTATCTCTAAACGCTCTGATCCTATTGCCTCATGTCTAAATTAGCCATAGTTGATGCGATGCATCTGTTCTGTTGTTTGGATACCAATTGGACAATGCCTTATGGTGGGCAGAAGTAACCTTGTTTGTGTTTGAGGCATGCAGGGTCTTCAGCAATCACATTTGTTCCCCACAGAGCTGCCAGCATGTTGCCCAAGGATTTCCCTTTCTCTTGTAATATCAACGTTTACTGCTCTCCCATCGTTACCAGTTAAAATAACTCCTAGTGTTTTATCATCCAGATGTGACCAGAAACAACCAAGATGGAACACCTTGTAAAAATGATTGAGTGTGAGAACAGGTAGTTGAAAGAACAAAGCTACAGCTGTCTTTCATCATTCCATGGAGGAAATCATTGTCGTAAGCTTCCTTTTTATCAGGTAGACAGTCCTGTGCTTTATTTCCCTGTCTTAGAAGAGAAAGGTAGAACTACTGAACAGAAGGGCTTGAAGTCAGTGCAGCCCAGTAATCACAGAAATCTTGCAACCTGGATTCTTCCACTGACTCTAATCTATGGCCTTGGACAGGTCACTTAGCAATGTGAGGTCCAGCTGCTCACCTCCTCTGAAGAGCCAGGCTTCATTTGTGTGAGATCCACAGTGATCCTGCAATATCCTTCGCTTGTCAAAAGCAACAAGGCCTTTCCCTTCTGCATGGTTATTACCTTGAGGAATGCCTTCAGGAACATCACCCAGATGAACTCTCACTGCTCTGACTAGTGTTGGAGTTCTTTGAGCAACATTAGCAGTAATACAGGAAGCATAGTTAGTGGTTTTATCTTGTTAAGCCTTCTCTACCAAATGTTCAGCCAGTCCAGACAGTGACTGTGGTGCAGTAGGTTTGTTTGACATCAGGGCTAATTAGCAATTAAGCGAATTTTGGAGCAAGCACTTTCAGACCAGATTTTTTTTTTTTTTTTCCTCCCAGGCAGGCTAGCATAAAATTCCATCTGCCTCATTTGCAAACTCAATTGCTTTAATTATGCATCCAAACTGGGAAAGTGTATACTCAAAAGATCGTTAATTCTGTGCACTTCTCGTGATAATGCAAAACAAATTGGCCATATCCTCTGAAGTCTGCACCTTCTCAAAATCTGCCTGTTCTGAGTATAACTTACCAGAAAATGGATCCTTTCTTCTTGCAAGTTTACGAGCAGCTAAAATAGCCTGCTCAACACTTCAGTGTGTGTCCTGTTGGTACTGCTCACTGCAGTTGTTTTGGTTTTAAGGGGATAATTTTCCTTGAGCAGAGCTAAACTTTGCCAACGAGGATCAGAACATACAGGTTAGATGCTGTGAATGTACCTACTGCTGCATTCAAGAAATTTCCTGCCCCTGTTGATGGAAGGTACAGGGAAGTTCAGTGCATCAGGGGAAGCCAAGGGAAGGAGGCTGGTGAATGGGCTGGAGAGTTCAGCTGGGTACATCAGCAGCCTCTGCTCTGCTTTGCCAGTGTTCTACTCTGACCTCATTTACTGGTCCCAAAATAGTGAATCCTGCAACTGTTTGTTCTTGCACCCTGCGTAGGTCACTTTGATCAGACTGAGGCTTGGTTCCTACAGCTCGAGCCCGATGGCGGTTCTCCTGACCACATGGGTCTGGTGCTGCCAGATTGGTACTAAACTCCCCGAAGGTTGAGCCAGGCCTTCCTTCGTCCTCATGGTTTCCTGTTTTTCTTTTTACACAGATGAGCAACAAAAGGTCGAATAGTTTCCGCCAAGCCATCCTTCAGGGCAACAGGAGGCTGTGCAGCAAGGCGCTGCTGGAGGAAACAGGGCTGAGCCTGTCACAGAGGCTGATCCGACACGTTGCATATGAGACCCTGCCGCGAGAGATAGACCGCAAGTGGTACTACGACAGCTATACCTGCTGCCCTCCACCCTGGTTCATGATTACCATCACCATCGTAGAGGCAAGTACCTTATTTAATGCCCTGATTTGAGGAACTCGCCTCACACTGCTGAGGTTTTGATGTGGGCTGAACAAAGGCCATCGTGGGGCTGGTGTGGATCCAGACAAGGATGAGCATGAGGCTGAAATGGCTCTTTTGACTTACCTACGTGTATGTGTAGATTATGTAAATGGAGGCTGTGTTCCTGTCTGTCTCCATTTGTGGTTATTAGTCATTGAAGCAACTTGTATATGAAACTACAGAATTTGGGAAAGTAAAGCTAAATTTTTTGAGAAGTGAAAATCTGGACAGTTTAAGGGGTAGCTCAAATAATAGAATTAGAAATAAACTCTTGTATGGTTACCTCTGCTCTTTGAATGGGGAGAAATTGGAGGGAGCAGAACTGGACTAAAAATTCTGACCTGCTCATTTCTTGCTCACAAAAGAGCTTTGTGCAGTAGTTAAGTGATGCTTTGGAATAAACAGAGAAGGATATCCTATGGCACTCTGAGGGTGCTGAGCTCCTCTAACTTGGTGACTGATCCGTAATGGAAAGCCACATATGGAGTTAGGCTGATGTGTTGCAGGTTTCTCAGAACAGGGAACATACATGCTGTATAGCTGTCAGGTGGTAGAAAAATTTGTTTTTCAGTTGACTTCCTTTCATGATTTTGAGTTTGCAAAGTGCTTTTCACTGAGAGAAGGCATTTGCTAACCAAGGAATCTTCCTGCTCTTCTAGGTTGCCTTTTTTCTTTACAATGGAGTGGTGCTAGACAGATTTGTGCTGCAAGTCACCCATCCCTTATACCTGAAAAATGCATTACTTTACCATCCTCAACTCCGTGCTCAGGCTTGGAGGTACCTAACCTACATATTCATGCACGCAGGGTGAGTACTTACAAACTGCAGAGATTTTCCAGAGGCAGTTCAGGTTCCTCAGAGAGTGGGAGGAGAAAAGAGACTGAATCAACTCAGAAATCAATTGGGAAAAAAATGGAGAGCACACAAACAAAACCAACCCTAAATTATGTATTAAAATCTGAAGCTGTTGTGGAGTGTTGGGCAATGAGAGGCAAACCTTCACAGCTGTCTGAAGGGAGGAAACAATGTAAGGAACTTTATAGATGCTGCTCCTGTCCCTGCACTTTTGGGATCACACCAACCTCTTAGTATGCATTCCTGTGCTTCCTAAAACTGACCTAAAGCTGAAGCCCATTGTCTGTCTAGAGGAGATGTGCAAGTGATGTATTGAGTCTGAAAAGATGCTAGACTGATATTTAAGAACTAGATATTGTATTTTTGGTAGACTTTCTAGTAAAGGTTGGAGAAGTGGATGAAATTTCCCATGCCTACTCAGTGTCATCGCTTAGTAATGCTGTCTCTTCTGTAAGGACTGGGATAATGCCTAGAAATCTGAGACAAAGCTGGACTCCCATTTTGTACAAACTGTACTAACAGTAGTGTGTTCCTTAAGTTCCTTAAGAGCTGACAGTCTCATCTGGACAGATGGACAGAGAATAGTCCGTCTAATGTAAAATGAAGGTGCAATAAAATAAAATACATTGTCCTTCATCCCATGGGAGGTATGTAGCAGAATGAAGAGAACACAAGGCATGGGGATTCTAATTCTGTGCTTGTGGACTGTGCTGGTCCTCTCAGGATTCAGAGACTTAATTATGTGACGTTTGTGATGCCATGGTGACGAGTGAATGTCACAGAAAAGTTCACCTCTGTACAAAACACTCTACCCCCTCAACGTGCTTTCTCAGATCATTATCCTTACACATTCCTGGCAGATAATTGCAATTTTCTTTAATTTTGTCATTGAAGAATCAGAGCAACAAGCTTTTTAACAGTGGTTTATAATTTGAAACGGAATGAAGATCCTTTGTTCTTAAATAGAAAGCTTATATTCCCATCAACCAATGATCTCCTTTAAAAGGCCAAAAAGATCAAGCAGATCTTTTCCTTTTTCCACCAGGAAGCTGATGTCCCTTCTCTGCCATGGAAATCCAACCTGTGCGTAACTGCCCATAAGCACAAGATGTGCCCCAGATTTCTGGATTAAAATTACGGTTGGAATAGAGCAGACTTGACCCAAGGAGAGTAGAAAAAAAATTATAGAGGAAACTTCTAAATGTGGTGACATCTGTACCCTGCATTCTACATTCCTCCGGTAAATTTGATTACAGAGGCATCAGTCTACAAGTGCAGACTGTTGTGCTTAAATGTGAGGCTGGTTATGTAAAATGAGAATTAGAAAGGTGAGGAGAAGTGGGTTTGTAGAAAAGAAGGAACACAATTTTAACTCACACAAACTAATTTGTATCTGATTTTCATTCTGTTTCTGCTGTAGTCCTACTGTTTCACTTCTATAACCACAGATTGCTCGGGAATTTGTTTAAGAGAAGCACCTGCACAATTATAATTTTGCAGCACTTAAATATGTGTCCCTGTGTCCCCTGTGGCATTCTTTCCTATCTGTGCAAAGTTGCCCTAACCTATAGCAGGCAGTGCCCTGGCATTCTCCACACTTACTGTCTGGAAAATACATTAGCTTTACTTCACACCTGTGGCTGGCTTTGCCACGAGCAGTGGTGAAATTGTTGTGCAAAAGTCTCATTGCTTTTGTGATGGATTCCAAATTCTCCAGCTGTTACAGCCTTCAAAACAGTGATGAGTCCTGCTGGAATAATAAACCCCGTGACTTATTTGCAGTATCTGGAGTTAGGCTAACTGCTCGTTTATGGCTAACACATAACGTGTAAATCTCCTTTCGTATCAAGAGGGGGGATAAATCTTAGAAAGATAATAATGCTTGTAGTGGAAGTCCATCACTCTCTGTTTTTCAAAGGAGAGGTTAAGACAATGTCATGGGGTTTATTGTTGTCCTGTTTCCAGCTGAGACTTTAAGATGGTAATATGGACTGTTGCTTAATTTAGTGCACTTGGTCTGTGCACTGAAGTCAGAAGGTGTCCAAAAAGGCGGCAGTTGCTAAGGCTTGGCTGGCTGTTTCTCTAGAAAGATCCCAAAAATGTGTGGACTTTGTGATGGTCCTGGTGCAGGGAGCTTTGTCGAGAGCTGAAAAGCCAGGCAAAGTTGTAAATTCTGCCCTTTGCTTTCATGGAAAGCTGACGTTGATTATCTGAGGCCCACACATTTGTAACACTGCCATAACTAATGACTTGCATTGATTCTCAGTCCCGTTTGTTTGGTCCCAGGGAAGGAGAAAGTCTTTAATAAATCAGGGAAATTGTCATTTCAAGAATGACGCATTCAGCACCAGCAAAGGCTAATTATATTTTATGGGTGCTTATTGACTATGGAGCCTTCAGTGCTATTAGCATGATGGGGAGGAAGAGTGAATAGGATCGCTCCTGCAAAGTCTTTTAAGAACAGCTGTGATTCGGGGCAGTCACTTTCGGGCTGGGGATAAACTTTGCTGAGCCCATACAAAAGCTGCCTTTGAAAAATAAGACCCAGTGCTTTGTGAGAAAATGTCAGGCACCGCCTCGTGACACTGGCTGCCAGCTGAAGCTTCTTTCCTCCCCGTGTAAAAGGGCATCTGGGTGCTTTGACTCCTTTCTGTGATCTCTGTTTGACCTTTGCTCATTGTTCCTAATTTAATTCCCAAGTTCTGTGAACAACCAGGATCGGAATGATTGCCAGAATGCACCCATGCCCAATGGCTTCAAGAGCAAGATGATCGACATACTTGGTTACTTTCCATAATTCCCAGTGATGGTGAATTATGGTGCTGAGCGTCCCATGCACAGAGAGAAATTTACTCTTAGAGAAAAATTAAGTGATAACAAACTCATTAAGATATCTGGAAAAGTCATTTTTCTGCAGTGTCATTTCTAGCAGCTTTTTCTGGTCCAACTTCAAATTCTCCTTCATGAGACAGTTCTATCATTAGTGCATTTTATCATCAGCATTTTTTTCTGATGTGTATGGGAAATTGCTATGGTAACACGAAGAAAGTCCAAAACAGTGAAAATTCATAGAACTTAAACCAAGTATTGCTGGGTCTGGCTGCAAGCAATCCGTTTCCTGTATGAAATATGACATAAACTTACAGTGCATTAGCTACTTTGTGCTTTTTCCCACAGAAGGTGCTAGTATTGTGTGTTGAGGGTGTGCCATGGTGTCATTTAAATCTACCTGCTTCGTAAGCAGTCAGTCCTGGTGTTACAATCTCCCTTCATGGAACAGATGCTATCTGATCTCATTCTGAGATATCTCTGTCACAAGGGAGAAGGGAGACAGAAAAGAGTGCAACTGTTGTTTTTCCTCACTGCAGGATAGAACACCTTGGTCTCAATGTTGTCCTTCAGCTCTTGGTTGGGGTTCCCCTGGAAATGGTGCATGGAGCTGCAAGGATCAGCTTTGTGTACGTTGCTGGAGTCGTGGCAGGTAGGTTACACTTCTGCATGCCCTAGACAGAGAGGCATCTGAAAGTAGTCTGGGATGACTTTGGCAAAGAAGAAATGTTTTGTGACATTTGTGTAGAGGAGAAGAGCAGTCTGATCTGTGTTTAGGACACTTGTGGCCCCACTGTACATTCCTTGCAACCCGTAGAAGGCTAGCAGAAATGTGGCATCACAGGCTTCCATCATCCTCCTGCATGAGGAACCTTTGTCCCACCCCACCCTGTCCCCAGGTCCTGCGCCAGCTCTTCCATTTGTCCTGCACTGTCTGGTTTCTACAGCCTAAGAAAGAAGTATTTAGTTGTATGTTGTGATCAGTGCAAAGAAATCTGGAAATTAATTTGATCGTGAAGCTATAGGTTTTGATTGATGTTTAGTTTGTGCTGTACTTCTTTTATTTATGTTTGGCATTTCCAGCACTTTGGAGGTGATGAAAGTTAGCTGACAATAGATCAACATCTAATTAAAACAGGAGGAGAGTGTGAGAACAACAGAGGGCTTCACGGTGGAACCTGGAACAAAGAATTGACTGCCACAGTTCAAGATTTATGTAACTGGGAAAAAAATCACCATAATTTTGTTTTTTCAATAATGAGCAGATAAAATCATTGTAAGATAGACTGCATTCCTGGAAGAGGCTGTGAAAAAGAATAATTGGATTAGGGCACAGGGCAAGGCATGGTACAAGCAGCATCTCATTAATGCAGAGAGAGAAGTGAGCAGACCAGCTCTGGTGTTTCTTGCCTATTATTTTAATAAGCATTAAAGTGGTTCCCAGTCTGCAACTCTCCAGGCACAAAGTTTTCTACATAGATCAGTCTGCAAAGTCATGGGGCTTAATTTGTACATACACACTGCACATCTGTGCCAGGTAAGCAAAGCAAGCAAGCACTGAACCTGCTATGATTGAGCCCAGGTGAGCACTGCAAGTTGATGGCAGGGGAAATTCTCAGTGCAGGTTGGAACTATGAATGTGGTTGGACAACCCCAAAGAAGCATTACATAAGCATAATCCCTCTGTCTCTTTCTGTTGTTAGCCAGTTATTAAATGTGCTTTGTTCTTTGACGTATGTCAGGAGATGGAGGAAGGAGCCTGAGGATGTGGCGATATAAAGATAATGCAGCTCCTAAACAATCAGGAATAAATAGTAAAATGTGGATACATGCTGCAGTAGCCACTCCCTACTTTTGTGTTTTTCTCATTTGTCTGGCTTTGACAAAAGGATATGTGGAAGTGTAGATGGAGAGATGCAGTTAAGTGCTTGGGTCCTGCAATGAGCGCATGGATTCTGATTACTCCTTTCTTAACTTCTGATTAACGTGTCCCTTAATGGCATTGCTTAAGAGCTGAGAAGTTTCAGGTCCCTGTGGTGAAGAAGGGAGCTATATGCTGGTGGAAGCTCAGCTCTTTTTTGACCATAATCACCTAAACAATTAGCCAGGAAGCCTATTGGAAGATTCTGTACGACTGATGACTCTCTCCAGAGTAGTCATTGTGATTTTTCCCCATTTCTGCTCATCACAAACGTCTTCATTATCCCTGCTTTGTGCACAAAGTCTGCCTTTGTCTCTCTTTATCTTTTCAGTTACCTCTAAAGTTTGCTATATCGTAGCTTTGAGCAGATCCAGGCCTCTAATTGGGATAAAGAGAAGCAGTGTCTATGTTTGAAAGTATTTCTATTAGCAGTACCTTTATGTGATTGAACTGACATTTTGCCATCTCATGATGACTGCTTTCATTCAGGTTATTTTTAGGAAGCTTTACTCTGCAGTTTTATAAGTAACAGGCTGAACATTGATCAAAGTCCTGGGTTTAAGTGATCAGTCCCCAGTCTTTTAAAGTTTGCAAATATTTATCTTGTCAGTGCAAGAGCAACTTCTATTTTATCCTTTGGTGATGAACAGGATGAAGGCACTTGTCCATCTTCCTTGTTGTTTTTTTTTTAAGCAGAGTGTATATATACTTTTTGCAGTATAGGTTCAAAGATGCATTGCTCCCTCGTGCTGGCTCGCAGTCTTTTTAAGTAGGTACAAAATAATTGGACTGATTTCTCTTTTCCCCCTTCCTTTTATTTATCTCCGTATTGCTGACCTGTAGCAGATGATGCAGAAATAGTGGTTATTGTAGAAAAGTGATTTTATTTGGCTGATAATTCTGACAAAGCCTTGTTCTAATTCCCAGGGTCCCTGGCAGTGTCAGTGGCTGATATGACTGCACCTGTGGTTGGCTCCTCCGGAGGCGTGTATGCCCTTGTCTCGGCTCACTTGGCCAATATAGTCATGGTGAGTAGCAGAATGCCTTTCCAACCTCTTTGAAGGTGAGCACCTCTGGGATTGGGAAGAGGGCCTGACCGAGCTGTTGGTCATTCAGGGCTTGCTCAATGGTCTCACCCCAGTGGCCTGGTCCTGGAATATTACACTATAGTTGGTGGATTGGTGCATCAATGACTAACAGTTTGTAAGCTGAATCCGAAGGTGCTGTTAATATTTATTGGTATATTTGAAACTATCAGTTTTTATTGAATGGATTGAGAACTCTTTGGAAGAGAAGGAGCTGACGGCATCTACAAAAGTTGCGGAGCTGTTTCTGTCTGCAGTGTGTCATATCATGTTAGGAAGTACCTAAAGAAATTTTTTATTTGTTGGATTCTTTGTAGAATATCCCTTATTCCCTTTCATAAAACTCAAACTGACACTGAATTCTGATCATAACAGCGTTGCTATCTTTTAGCTGTTTCACCTCATGAAGTACTTCATAAAGGTCAGTGAATATCAGCACTGTAATTTCTGGAAGATCTAGAAACAGCAGCTCATCCAGGGTCCTTACAAGGGCTGTGGCAAAGCCAACATGTCTGCCTGTGCAAGCCCTGAGCTTAGCACTGGACAGCAGTGGTTTTGCTGAGAATGCTGTTTTTCACATGGTTCAGATTGCTGTGTGGTGGTACAGGAGCACGCATCTGTCCTTTGCTAGCAGTATCAGAGCAGAACAACCATAAGAATAGTGGTAATTTAGCTCCCAGTGGGATCTGTGTGAGATGATAATGTGAGCTGGATGCGGCAAAGACAGAGGGTTTGATGTATGTGCTCTGGAAAACACGTGCGTGTGTTGTGGTACTTTTATCAAGCCTAGAAGATGCTCTTCCAGTGCAGATTTGAATGTAAAATCCAGATATCCATGCAGCATCACTTTGTTTTCTTTGTCTCTTTTCCAGAATTGGTCTGGAATGAAGTGCCAATTCAAACTGCTACGCATGGCTGTTGCCTTGATCTGTAGTAAGTATTGTGCAATACCTGGTGAATAAGCAATCCTGTCTCATTTGTCTTTGTCCTAAGGGTTTGTGCTGACACAGGGAGTTCTGACTTTGCAGCAGTTTTGGTAGGAACTTGCAGCTGGAACTTCCTCATGCAGAAGTCACATCACTCTCAAATGCTGATTTTGGTTTTCAGCATAAGCATTTTTAAATGAGGATTTGTTGTTAACCAGCATCTGTAGCATATGGAATTGTGAAGATCTGGGATTTAAGCATCTCCTCTCTGAATTCACAAACAAACAGTACTTTCATAATGCTCATGTTTAGGCTTCCTGGAGCACTTGCTGTATGTACAACACCATTGTACATACATCAGTCAATTATCTTCCAGACACATCCCCAGGGTGCCTTGATGAGAGAAACCGGATTGTATATTATCAACAGAAAATTGTCTTCAAATTCTGGTATTTTTTTTCCTTATTTTTGATATAAACTTTGAAAGAGAAATGTTCCTTTGCCTGTCTACACTCTGACAAGCCCAGACCGCAGGGGAGATCTCATCTCTGTGTGCCTTACATAACCATGGCTTCCCAGCCTCCCTGTGCTCACTATACAAGGCAGTTTCTTTTTCACTCTTTTTGCCTCTTCAGAAGATGTAGTGCTGCCTTGCAAGGTGGAGTTGAGAAGGGATAGACTTAAACTATTAATTTATTTTGTCCTTGTTGTTCCAGTGAGCTTTGAATTTGGAAGAGCTGTGTGGCTGCGATTCCACCCCTCTGCCTACCCTCCATGCCCACATCCTAGCTTCATGGCTCACCTGGGAGGGGTGATGGTTGGAATCACCCTCGGTGTCATTATCTTGAGGAACTATGAGCAGAGACTTCAAGATCAGACTTTATGGTGGATCTTCCTTTCTATTTATCTAATCTTTGTGTTGTTTGCCATCTTCTGGAACATTTTTGCCTACAGCCTGTTGGATTTGAAGCTACCTCCCCCTCCTTGAATGCACAGGACAGGAGACTCTGGAGAGCAGAAGCAGTCTGCCAGCTGCATTATACGAGAGAAGATGGAGGTTCTATTTTTATATTTAACTTAGGGGAGGATGATTATTTTGAACACAACCGTGTGTGGAAGAAGATGCTTAAAGATCTCACAAGTGAATGGACTGATCAGTTTGTTATTAAATCTAGCAGGTACTGTAATGCTGGCTGGCCTGGGCCCTGCAGTTTCTTCACTGCTAGGGCTTCCATTGGGCACCTTGAACTTGGACATTTATCACATGGTTTGTTAGCACACATCAATATTCTGTATGGGATATTTGCATTTTCCTGGTCAGTGCTGGAATTACAGCCAATTGTTGAATGAATCTCCTCAATATTACTAAACACAAGATGGAAAAAGAGCAGTCAGTTACTAACTAGACTTGCATGACACTCCCAAGGCAGACTGGGTTTGGTTTCTACAGATACATTTGACTGTTCAGCCATACCAGTGCCACTGTCTAATTACTTGAATGGTTCCTTAAAATTTTAAGCCTTTGGTGGAACTTGTTTTATGCACCTTTGAAAGGGATCAGCAGAACTTTGTCACCCAAAGTGATGGAGACTGGTCTTTCAACTACAGGTCAAATGAAATTGCACTATAAACCTTGGAAACTCTTTAGAGTGATGTGGATACTGGGCTAGAGGTGAATTTACCATGCACGATTTACTTGATTTATACTTTTTTTCCCAGCCTGTTGTGGCTACAGCTTGTGGCTGGGGTTTCTTTTTGAGAGATGGAGGAAAGGAAGGCAAATGTTCAGTTTTGATTTTGTCAGTTGACAATGGGGTTTTTCTTCTCACTTTATTTGGGGCTGTATTGATTTAATGCCTGGCCTGCAGTGATATCTAAGCAGGGATCTCAACTCTTCCAACAGGCTCCAGCTTTAGAGCCATCCAGTCTGTTTGAAGCCAGCTTTGTCCACTGAAGGTATTGGGTTAAATCAGGGTATGTGTCTGGCTTCCTCCTGAAGTGGAAAGAAGTGTTACAGTGAACGTTGTGAAGTTCATAACACTGGTTTTCAAATGGCTGCTAAAATCTGAGGATGGCAAGTCTTTCTGAGGCAATGGAAGTTCAGAGAAAGCAACAGTCAGTTGCACTGATGCCTTTTTGCTTAGCATAGGTCAAACCCAGATTTTAGTAATCTGGTTTGAAACACAGTCCATACAGCCACACGATGCGTGCTGCCTGAGTGAACCTGGGGACCAGACTGGAATGTCTGCAGAGTGTGTGTCTGTGTAAGGTGCATATTCAGTTTTGCCTCTCACTTTGGAGAGCTGCCAAACTACAGTTGAGATACTTGGATGCCTTTCTTTTCTCTCCCCTTTGTCCACCTAGTTTGGTACCTTGTATAAAGCAGAAATGGGAGTCTTTGTAGATGAGCTCCTTTTTTCCTTTTTCTTTGCAGCTTGGTGCCCAGCCACCGCCAGCTTTCCGTGGCACATCTTGTGGGCAGAGCAGCAGCTGGGTTTTCTCTGTGGCTAAGTGTTTTTGTATCGTAGGCTTTATTCTCTCAGTTGTGTAATTGGTGAAACCACAAACTGGTGGGAGCCTGTGTTTCTAGAGGGGACGTTCCCAAGAAATCATCAACTGTAGTTCCCTTATTTGCCTTTGCAGGAGAAATCTCTCCAGAAGGTAGAAGTTCTGCTCCTGTGGTATCTGCTCGTAAAAATCCTGTTGCCTCAGGGAAAGAGAAGGGGGAGAAGGAAGAGTGTCTCTACAGCTGGGAGTAAGCGTTACGTGCAAAAGAACCAAGTTTTGCTGTTTGTGCACAGAAATGGAATCTCAGAGGGCACCTTTCTGCATGACTGGCATGTTTGTGGCCCTCAGATCGAGGGACAAGGGTCAGAGCTCTATTCTGTCTGAAGGAACGGGCTCATTCCCTGTGCTATTTCATCTCAGCAGATTGGGTCCAGGTCAGAGCGGTCACAAAACTTTATGTGCATTGCTTCAGGTCAGGAGCTGGTCAGCGAGTTCCATGCTGATGGAGATTGTCTCCCTGGAGAGCCATAGACAAGCAGGAGGGGGGAACTAGAATGCAGAGAAAAGCATGGCTAATGCCATTCTTTCTTCACCAATTGTTAAGCCTTTCTGAATACAGATGCCTTTAAACCAGAGGTGAGCAGGAAATGGGAATTGCCAGATAGGAGCTGCACAGAGCAGTCTAGGTGCCCTTCCTTGGTCCTTCATCCATAAATGAACATAGTGAACACAAAGTAATTTTTTCCAAAAAACCTCTCACTGAACTTGTGAGTTGTTCATCTTTCCAACTTCCATTCCTGTGTTCCCATCTGCTGTCTGAGCAAATCTGAAACAGCCCTGGGGATCAGAGAGGTCAGACTCGAGCAGTACTGGATTTTTGTGGGTGAAGAAATGAAAGCCTCTTTCATTCCTGCTCAGCAGAGCTGAAATATCTCCCCATGTATAGAGCAGATCGTATGCATAGCCTGTTCTCTATTAAGAATATCAGCTTATGGAGTCAGGAGCATTGTGAAGTGCTGAAGTTTTTTATAATTATGTTTATATCACTGAAAGTATATTGTGAAAACTTGTTATATTTTTACAGAGTATCAGGAAAGCCAGTTAACAATGTTTTTTAATGCACCCAGAAGTGCCACAGCACTGCAGTGCCAGAGAGCTAACAGCAAACAGGCTTTGCTTTTACCTCCAGATGTCCTTGATGCTGCTGGCTTATGGCAGAGCTCTGCTATTCTCCATCCTGCTCACTTGTGGTTCCAGCTGATCAGTGGCAGTGTGTTCCTGAAGGAACCATCCGCTGACGACTGGTTTTGGTGGTTGCTTCTGTTTTAGTCCAGATGCTGCCAAGATTTTACATTGCTCAGATAAAAAGATAAAAAGTGAATCTTTTGTGTGAATGTGCAGCTCCAGAACGGCAGACAAGGACTGTTAGCAGTGCACAGAGTGGAGATAACGCATGTTGGAGGAGTTTATTTCGTGCCCCCGTCCTTGAGTGAGGACACAGCGCAGGCCAAGCAGCCGTTCCGTGTGTGATTGCCGGTCAGGCAGCACCGCAGGGCGGCTCTGCAGCTCCTTCGGGGACACCTGCCGGCCGCGCCGACACAGCGCAGAGCCACGCTGAGCCCTCGGCTCGGCCCATCCGAGCTGGGAGCAGCAGCTCGGACAGCTCTGGCAATGGTGGAAGACAACCTGGGAGAGCAAAGTCCACGCGGCTTGCAGACTGCGCCTGTTATTCCTCGATTCTTGGATGCAGGTGGAGATTAATTTTGCACACATCAGTAATAACAAGAGGAGGAAGGAGAGGATGGGTGGGAGCGGTGCTTACCAGGAACCGTCGCTGACTGAGGTAGAGAGGAGTAAAAATGCTGATGAATTCACTTTTGCCAAGTTTCTAAGCCAACACCTTTCTTTTTTTCCCCCCGTTAGTCAGTGGGGCAGCTGGGCACTTCTGTGGCACATTGTGTTTCTACACTGCTTGCTCTTTCAGCAGAAGGAAGTATCTTGTCAGTGGGGACAGGGCAGGGTGGAGAAGTTATTGCCTAAAGCTGCTGGACTAGACATAAAGCTTAAGGATTTTGTGTCCCAAGACCTTGCTTCTGCTGCATTACACTGCCCTTGTTTTTTAAGTCAATTATATAGCTTCATTTTGAACTAGGTGTGAAGGATGGAGTCTGACACATTTAGAACTGATACAAAAATAACAGCTATCTGCTGGCCTTATGTGGCTGCTGCTGTTTTGTGCCAACATTTAGGCTTACAGGATCACAGAGAGGGTCTTCACACATCAGTGAGTAAAGAAAACTTGAGTCTGTGTAACTGCACAGAGTTCCACTTTGGAAACCCCACTGGCTTTACCTGAGGTGGAACTAGAAAACATGAATGCAGTTCAACACCAGCAACCTCTGGAGGCAATCCAGGATCCAGAGAACAGAAACACCTCTGGGATTGTAGGCTCTCCGACTATCACTGCTGTTCTGTTTCCTTTGTAGCAGGGGCTGCTTCCCACTGCTCTGTACTGTGACTCAAAACATTCCTCCTGCGGTCAGTGATGCTGAGAGCTGGTTGTAAAGGAAAGCAGTGCATTTTGCAGCTCTGTAAAGAACTGCACTAAAGACAGAAACCAAGCCCGTTCAAAGGTAAATGTACTTTGAATGTCATCTTTAATCAACAGCACTTAATTGGAAAAAGTTTTCTAATGAGATATTCCTGAAATGCCAGTAGTAGTAGTTCAGAAAATTTATGTTTCAGGGTACTTGACAATACAGAGCACAAAATATTCCCCAGGCCTGATTCAAGTAGCAACATCTTTAATTTCTAATGAGCTTAATAGATATGTTAGTCACTGTCTCCTGACTCCCTCAGTGTCTCATTAATTGGCAAATAAAGCTAGTTGCTCAGCTTTTCTTTTGCTTACACTACTAACCTAACAACATATCCAAACGTTAAACACAAAGCACTAAACAATGTAATTTTCTGCCTTAAAATACTGAGCAAATGATACTTTCCCGTTAAGGGCTAGTAAAACAAAATATTTGCAAGGTAATTACACTATGGTATGTTTTCAAATATTTTTGTATTGTGTACATTCTGTATATTTTTGTTGTAACAATATTATTTGAGCGCAGAATCCATTAAATTTTTGTTGGTGGATTTTTTCCCCCTATGAAACAGAGCTGTCTTCCATCACATGCCAAAAATCATCCAAGGAGAATCTTCCAGTCAGTTTTGTAAGTTTGTCTACAATTACAGTATTTAACCAAAGGGCAGTCGGCTGTAAGAGCTGAGATGTCATCTTCTAATAACGACATCAACGGTTCATTTTTATGTTTCTAAAGCTGTCTGATAAAGGAGAAAGTGAATCGCTGCTGTATTTCTCCACGAGTTAAACAAGGACAGACGTGGCTTCTGAGTGGCATTCAGACACATCTTGTCCCACCACATAACAGCTGAAGCTCCATGGCAGCAGTGATCTCAGAACTGAGGGGAACGAAGACCAATTACATCAGACTGCTTAAAACTTTTCCCTGGGACGGAAGGGTTGCAGACTAAGCGCACATCTCAGCATCTTCTAAGCATGGCTGCACTTCTTCCTCAGCTTTTCATAGTTGATTGCTGGAGACAGTTGTGTGTCACACCCTCCAGGCATGTATCCAACTAAACTAGCTGCTTCTGTGTTATTTATTAGGCTTTTTGTTTCTTCTTTTCTATTTAAAAGTATGATTTTTACTAGGATTATGCCAACACAAGGAAGTGTTTTCAATTCTTTTTTTTGGACAGTTTATTTCAATTTATGAAGAAGTTTTATGAAGTTAATATTGACTCTAGAAAATCTTCACGATTAATTCTTCACTACATACAATTATTTTCATTATACAAAAGCGATGCTAGGAATGTACAAAGAAGATCTTGGTCACAAAAATATAAACAAATGAATTGGATTCATAATCTAGTCTGGGAATTTAACATGCCTGCCCAGCACATACATGAACAGACTGAAGCACATACCAGTTGAGTCCTAAAGCCCTGCCCAGGCTTTCTGTCTCCTGTCAATAAATAACTTGTTTCTTCAATCATAGAAGAACAAAACTGTTGATGTGAAAGTAGGAAGTAGAAACTAGCTACAGACTTTTTATGTTCTCTCACATGAACAAAGATGAACTCATTTACTGTCATTTATCTAAATGTTTGTGCTTCTTTTTCTACTAAAACAAGTAAACGGATCTTAATTATTAGACATGATAATTTTAAATATACTTAAAATATTTAAAATACTTTCCTTTGTCATGCTAACGCTTTAAAAAAGCAAAACAAAACCCACAAATGTAATGATTTTCTCACAAGATGAACACATCAGTTCAGGAGAATGTTAAGCAGTGAAAGTAGTGTTTTTTAAGATCTGATATTTACACATTAAAAAAAGCTCATGCTGCTTTCTCTCTAAAGGGAGAGAAGGAGCTGAAATTGCCACTTAGGTTTGACTCAGGTAATGCTTTTAAAAGAAAACTTTCTGCAGTAGTGAAACTAAGCTGCACAGAAGAAATTAATGATTTATACAATACTCTCCAACAACTGTAGGATAATTAAGATAATTTTAAGCCACTGCTGTTTCTTTCATGAATTCCTCAAGGACAGTCACTACGTTTCTGGCTTCTGGCATTTCTGCATGTTCTACTTTAACTATCTTCAAAAGGATGTCTCCACTGCCGCAGTTCTTTAAGAACATGTAACACTTGAACAAGGCGTAGTGGTTCATTTCAGCCTGTCGAATAAACCTCTTCAGGTTGTTAATGTCCTGTATTGCCTGGAATGACAGTTACAGAACATTTTCTTATCTTTGTATGTGGAAAGAAAATACGATGTGGAAAAGTGAAGGAAGAATAGAGACAAATGAATTGACATAAGAATTGAGTGATGTGTCTTTACCACACACCAACCATTACCTTCAATTTAAAGTTTTCCAAAATTTGCCGGAACAGAAATGGATTTCCACCTTCAGCACCATTTACAAAAGCATGCATCCAGTCCTCACAGAATCTGTTGCTTCCTGTTAAGTATTCAGGAACACAGAGAAGGCGTGAGCAAAAAGTAAACCAGCTCAATATGGATACACAGCTGCATTCACCTTGTTTCATACAGCTGACAATATGTGAGCCAGGAATTAAGCCTGAAGGAAAAAAATACACATGGAAAAGCGAACACAGCTACAGTGGCTGCATGAAATCCTGCTCTGATTGTTGAATTCACAATTGTCAAAAATCCAACTGGGGAGAAAAAAAAAAAAAATTCAGCTTCCCAGAAGTGTATACATTATAGTTTCATAGTCCGCAAAGTAGAACTGCTAAAACAAATTACTACCTGATAGGAAAAGCAGCGTTTTAGTTTCCAAACAGAATCCAGACTACATGGGCATGAACCTATGAGCTGCTGAATATCCTCAAATACCTCTAAAACCAAGGAGTCTCAGCAGCCCAGAGGAATACAGGGGTGTTAACAACTGTAATCTCACCTGCATTGTGCAGCTGAAGCTGGGCTCCAGTACAGTCTACAACCATTGACTTGTGCTGTTCCTCAGTCATGGCAATGCACAAGGAGGTCATTGTGCCTTCCTGAACAAGGCCTTGGAGGCTAGCAGCTGCCAGAAACCTAACACAAAAACTATTGTGAGCCACTGTTTCTACATGGTGTCTGAGTGAGGAGAAGAGGAAGGTATCACACACGAAAGCAGTTACTCTCATGTTCCTCTGTCTCATAACATCCTTACCTGCTAATGTCTTTTTCTGTTCTTTCATCTGCATTTTTTACTTCCACAGGAGTATAACTCAGTGCCTTAAAACAAACAAAAAAGTTTAGAAGTTAGACACGAGTTGGATATTACTTCTACTGCTGTACTGTATTTACTAGCAAGAAATACAAAGCATATTAATTTTGCTCTTTTCAGAGTAAGAGAAGAAGCCAAGGGAATATTCCACATTATAGACGTTGCAGCTGGCTTTGCATTCAGAATACAGTGATTATACTTAACTAGCTATTCCATCCAAAGCCAAAACAAACAACAATAAACAAACAAACAAAAATATTGCAGAAGATGTTTCTAATTTACACCTGTTTGAGAAAGGAAACGTAAGCAGCATTTTAAACATATTAGAGTTGTGGAAATAGCTGCTGAAGCTCTTCTATTTAGTTAGTTAAAAATACACATACAGCATGTAACAAGAAGGCCAGTTTCTCCTGGAAGAGCTGTACTACTCTCTGAATTGGGCATATGGAATTCTCAAACCAGCTTCTTAAGTAGGGGTTAACACAAGTCTCCAACGTTTTCTGCTGTAAAACATTAAAACATGAAACCGTTTAGTCACAGGTTTGATTTCTACACACACAGAAGCCTGTTAATAATCTATTCAACCTAAAATATTTAGATGTCAAGTAGCTTTTCATTGCAAACCACACTAGATCAAAATAATCAGTTTGACATTTAAAGCCATGCTTTTTGCAGTGTAAGCTGTGAAGGGAAAGAACTGTAATATATGATACAAAACATTATATCACATTATGATGCATACTCAGCAAAGAGTCTGCTGGAGCATGCAAGATGAAACAGAAACATAAAATATACTGGTGACAGGACAACCAGTAGAAATCCTTCCTTGCTGTTGAGAACTGGCAGGGCTCTTGGTAGACACAGAGACCCTTCCTGTAGATTATTACATTTTCTTAGTCATTTTTCTCTTTGAAGCTAACTGCAAGTAACCTCTAAGAGATTCATGACTGGCACAAAGAAGTCCCTCTTTTTTTCCCCTCTTGACTTTTGTGGTTAACAGTACTCTAGACATTCACTGTCTCTACAGTGAAGCCTGTATCCATCTCTGAGTGTTTGTTTTCTACACACTACATCTTCTGGTTGGCTTGAGTAACACGTTTGTTTAAAATGTCATTTTCACCACTTAACAAATGTAAAAAGTTAGATCTTACCTCCAAGTCAAGGCTTAGCTTCAGACTTTGAACGTATTTGTCCAATTCAAGTCTGAAAGTATCTTCTTAAGGAAAATAAGATGCATCAATTAAGATCCACATTTTGTGCTTTCAGTATATGCTTGTTTCTGATATTTTAAGTTACATACATAGTGGAACATATGCATAAGTGTGCTGATTTCAAGGAGAACACGGACAAAAAGACAGTATCATTTTTCCATCATCTCCCTCTCCATACAGATATGGAAAGATAATGGTAAGGATATAGTTCCAGACCTTTCTCTGAGCCACCTAGGAAACAAACTACATATTCTGGAGCACTGATTTCCGATTCTAGTGTTGCTGTTTCTAGAAGACTTTCATGTTGGAAAAGACAGTAATAACAACCAACTTTACATTCTGGTATACTGTGCAAAAAAAGAAAAAAGTTGTTAAAGATATTACTATAAGTTAATGTGGAAAGTGTTCACTTACAGCTGTTATTAACAGCAGCAACAGACCGGGAGCATGCAATCACAGCAGGTTTAAAGCTAGGTGATGGCAAGGTGTGCCATGCTACCAATGTTTCTCAGACCTTTTCATTCACAAGTAATTTTTAAAAGCATATCTTACCTCAAATCCACAGTTGCTACATTCCCCATCCCTTCGAAAACAGCTCCTTTGGCCAGGCGTTTAGCAATAAAACCACGCAGTTCGGTTTCTGCTTCAGCTGGTAAGTTTGTGTCCAGCAAAGAGAGGCTTTAAAAAGCAAGATGAAAGCATTAGCAAGTAACAAATGTTTTGCTTCTGAAGAAGAGCAGAAGCGCCTGCATGCCGTCACGCTCTGCTTCCAGGAGGAGCACTGTGGTTTCTCTCTGTGCCTTCAGGCCCATCAGTGCAGTCAGCAGTTTGCCCACCACAGCACAGCCTGCAGTTGTGCTGCAGCAACGGCGTCCTGAGGGGACGGGGCGCGGAGCGCCGTACCTGAAGTCCCGGCCGGGGGGGCTCCCAGGTGCCGCGCCGCCATCGCCGCCATCCGCTCCCCGCCGCGATGACCTGAAGGCAAGGAGCTCTTAGCACGCCTTTTGCAGGCAGAACGGGCGCTGGGAAAAGGTACGGCCCGAGGGTGATATAGCGCAGGAAATCAGAACGTTACAGGAGAAAAAAAAACAAGAGTCTTTACGGAAAGGTGCAAATAAAAGCAGAATGGAGCGGCTGGCAGCGCGCAGGGCCTGGGAACGCCCGCCCGCGAGGCCCCTCACCTGCGGCTCCGGTAGCCGTACAGGCTGTGGTAGGTGCTGCCGTGCCGCTCCGGCCGCCGCTCGTCTCCCGCACCGCCGCTGCCCTCCTCGCTGCTCTCCAGCTCCCGCTCATCGCCGTCCGGCAGCGCCGCCAGCATCACGGCCCCCGCCGCCCAGCCGCGCCGCTACGCCCCCCACCCCCGTTCTCCGCCCCGAGGGCTGGGCAGGCTGCGCCTCAGCGCCTCCCGCGGCTGTGCGGTGCGCGCCGCCCCCTCGCGGGGTGAGGGCGGTGCGGAGCCCGCAGCTCAGGAGCGGACCGGATCAGTTGGTGCGCGCAGCGGTACCCAGCGCAGGACTGAAGGACCGAGTGAGCAAAGCAGGACGGCTCGTGCAGCCGCAACCGCCGCTCACGTGATTTATTGAAAGACGCAGTAGACGTTACAGAATCCGCACCGCTCTACCCAACCCACCTCGCAAACCCGCAGCCCGCCCCTCAGGCTTACACAAAATGGCCGCTCCCGCCCTCAGGCATGCCGGGACGGAGCTGGTCACGTGAGCGGCCCCCCTTCCCGCCGTCGCGCGGTGCGCTCTGGGAGCTCGGGGGCGGCCGTGCCAGGAGGTGCGTGGCGGCCATTTTGTGCCTGCCTCGGTCTGCGCGGCGGCGGTTGTGGGCGCTGCGGCTCGGCGGGGAAGAAGGTCTGCCGGTCTTTTTTTTTTAATTATTATTATTATTATTAATTTTTTTTTCTGCGTAGGTCGCGTGTTCCGTCGTCATGGGCCGTAAGAAGAAGAAGCAGCTGAAGCCTTGGTGCTGGTATCCTTGCGCTGTGTGGGGCGGGGTGGGGGAGGGGCGCAGGGTTCTCCTCCGGTGTCTGCGGAGCTCCGCGCCGACCCGTGAGCGCCGATCTTTTTGTTGTTAATTTTGTGGGTTTTTTTCTTCTTTTTTTCTTTTTTTTCCCGTTGGATTCGTGCTCACTCCCTCTCTGTGCCCTCATCCTGGCCCGGCCTACCCCGTGTCCTTCCTCTCTAATCCTTCCCCGCCCCCCGCTGGCCCGGCCTGCCCGCTCGCCCTGCGCTGGGCCCGGAGCGGCCGTTGTTCCCCACGAGGGCATCGCATCTCCGTGAGCAGCGCCGTGCTGGGCGCTAATCAGTGAGGCAGGAGTGGTTGCAGGAGTGAGAGCTGTTGGAAAGCTCATTTTAGAATATAAAACTTGTATTTGCTGCGTCAAAACATCTCGGCATGTAAAAATATCAATGGGTTCTTCACGAGGTAGCCCTTTTGTAATCTGCTTTTTGTTGAAGAGTGATTGCAAGCATACCTCTCTGCCGTTTTTTTTATTAGTCTTTAATAAAGGAATTTATAATCCGGGTGGAATTTGTTTACCAGGCTTTGTTGAAAGTGAAGGACACGCTGTTAACGGGAAGCAGGTTGTACCCAGTGTAGTTCTCCTGCTTAGCAGGATGGCTGCAATGCCTGCTGAAGCCTTCTAGCTGAGCTGCACAAAAGAAACGGCCATTTGCCTCTCATTACGCAACAGCTCGAAAAGTTCTTCAGATGTTTCAGTTTAGAAACAAAGTTCTGTTATGATTACAATGAATCTTGTGATGTCTTAAAGTTTTGGTCAGTTGGGTGGCTGAAAAGGGAGTTCTCCATTAAAACTGTATTTTTTTTCTTCCATAAACGTTAGCTGCCAATATGTGTTATTAATTGGGTGCTTCAGAGTATTTGGTGTTGCTTCCCATTTGTGGATCTGTCATCTTTCTCCTTTGCTGCTCTAGCAACATTTTAGTAATATTTAAAATTTACATTTGAAAATATGTAAAGGAGGAAGAGGAGTCCACTTAGAAAAAACTGTGACTTAAAAAAGCATCTATCAGAATGTTATGATTATGGTTGCATGGGCACATCTTGCTGTTCTCTGGTTGTTGTTACTGGGTGATGTGAAGAGGGAGGTTTGGTTTCAGACATGGATGAAATACTGGTGCTCTGAAAACTCAGGGTTGCTTTCTGTGCTTTCAGTTTCCTTTAGGAAGAAAAAAACGACAATACTAATTAGCTCACTTTCAGTGTGAAATATTTCCTTAACGTCTTCAAAAGGTATTGTAACAGGGATTTTGATGATGAAAAAATCCTTATACAGCATCAAAAAGCAAAGCACTTTAAATGCCATATATGTCATAAGAAGTTGTATACAGGACCTGGTTTAGCTATACATTGCATGCAGGTAAGAAGCTTTAGTCTTGCAGAAAACTTTTTTGACAGTGTCTAAAATTGGAATAATCAGCTTAAAAAAATGTGTTCTCTTGGGGTTTCCACAATCCTGGAAAATGATGAGAGAAAATCAGTAGTGTTAAGCTTCACGAGCAGGTCTCCTGATGTGCTAGCAGTTTGTGTGGTGGGTATGCAGCAGAGAAATTTGTGGTCAGTTTTTGAATGTAGGAGTGGATGAATTGCATTGTCTTGGTGATTAGAGTTTTAGAAACTAGTTTTAGACGTCAGTAGTTACAGTGACTAGAGGAGTATCCAGAAAATGGCTGACTAGAGATATGCTTCCCAATAAGGATGTTTTGTTTGTCTTTTGAAATTAAACTAGTGCAGACAAACCTAAATCTAACCTGAATTTTGATCAGGAGGTTTTTTTCCTTCCCTTCTTAGGTACATAAAGAAACAATAGACGCTGTTCCAAATGCTATTCCTGGGAGAACAGATATTGAACTGGAAATCTATGGCATGGAGGGCATTCCAGAAAAAGACATGGAGGAACGGAGGAGGTTACTTGAACAAAAAACTCAGGGTAAAGTGTGATCTAGCTGGTTATCTGTCATCTCCGTGGTGCTTTGCTTAAATTGTTTGATCTGTATTCTTTGTGTGCACTGTCCACGTTGAATAGTGCGTCTTCAGCACACAGTAGGCAGTATTGCTTTGTCTTGAAATCACAGGTCGATATTTTATTGTTCTGATGTGTTTTGCCTGCCTCTCAAGACGTTATTTGTAGGCTTTGGGAAGAAAGCTGTTATTGATGTTTTGGGATGAGTGCTTTTTTGAGGAGTAGGGGAGTTTCCCTCGTCTGTTTTTGGATTTGAAAATTGATTTGTGGTGTTTTGGCCCTGTGTGATACATGTCTCCCTCCTTAAGAGTAAGAGCTGACTACACTGCCCTAACTGCAACCCTTGACATGACCTATCACGTAGAAAGACAAGTGATGATACTTCTTTTTTTTTTCCTGTTCAGAAAGAAAGCATTCAGCTTACAGGGATGATGAATTTTAGGGTTTTGTTTGTTTGTTTCGTATAGACCAGGAATTACGTTAGTCTGACAGGGTAGGAATACTTAAATCTTCTTTGTTCTGGAATTATGCCTTTGAGTTGTTCTGGCTTATTCTCTCCAGCCAGAGGCTTATGTGAAGGTAGACCCCTGTTACACTGAGAGTTGCTATAGTGTGAGTCACTTCCCTTTATTTTCTGTACATATAATAGTAGACACACAGTTTCTCTTCTCTAATCATGTGAATTTTTGAACATGCTGATAAGACTCGAAATGATTGTCATTCCAGCTACAATACTCCAGATAAAAATTAATTTCATAGAAATTGTTTACTTTCCTCTGACCATGTGCGTTGTATGATTCAGCAGAGAGCCAGAAGAAGAAGCAACAGGATGATTCTGATGAATACGAAGATGATGAATCTGCAGCTTCCACTTCATTTCAGCCCCAACAAGTTCAGCCACAGCAGGGGTACATTCCCCCAATGGCACAACCAGGTTTGCCTCCTGTGCCGGGTGCTCCAGGGATGCCTCCTGGTAAGGGTGCTGTTTTTGAACCAGTTATTGAAAGGCTGAGTAGGAATACAGATCTCTACTTGGAATTATCATCTGCTAATTGGTATTCTCCAATGCAGTGGGTTTGTGCTCTGAAAATAGTTTAGTGAGGTGCATGTGAGCAGTTCTTCAGGTTCTTCCTGCCCCTGGTGCAGGAGGTGCACGTGTTCCTCAGTAAAGCAGATGAAAATAGCTAATGTTTGCATCTGGGTAGAAAAACTGTCAGTGTGATACTAAGACAGATCAGCAGTTTAAACATAGATCTACTTTGTGATACTTTGTAACAAGGTTTTAGAAATAGAAGGCTGAAGGGATACCCTGGATTTGTGCTAGCAGAGGATGGAGAGTTTATGCACAGAATACATACAACTTTATTTTATTTTTATTATTTTTTTAATTGCAACTAAACTTGCAAAAAGCACTTCAATTAGTGACAGTGAAAACTGCCCTTTCTGATGTTTTCTGCAGTGTTGAGGCGTGCTCTTTAGAGATTCTGCTAAGAAAGGTTACAATGGGTGTCTCGCAGAGTTTGGGAGCAGTGGATCAAAGTCAGATTTATAGATTACCTTTTATATCTCATAATTTGTAAGTGACATTATTTCAAAAACAAGTATTTTACAGTTTCCTGCATTGAATAGATTTGGTGATGAATATACATTGTTGGTGCTTAAAATTTATTTTCCTTTTTTTAAGGTATACCACCATTAATGGCAGGTGTCCCACCTATGATGCCTGGAATGCCTCCCGTTATGCCTGGAATGCCACCTGGGTGAGTAGCTAGAAAGATTTACAGTGATGTTTCCATGCTTTGTGTTTTAAGCTGTCACAGAAAGAGTAAAGCTAATTGGAAATAACGTTCAGGAGCCTGTGAACTCTGTAACCTTAATGTTAAGATACAGCAAAAATCTGGATGGCTATAAACCAACATTAAAAATACAGCCCAACTCTGAATCTATGTGTAAAGTATGTTGCCTTTCTCTTGATCTTATTTAGTAATTTCATAATGGTTTTATAATGTGTTGTGTTGGTTTAAAGCCTTACGTGAAGCTCTGTTTGTGTATGGCACATCTTGTACCATCTGGCTGTCAGTCATCCAACCTATCCAGAAAAAATACTGGATAGTTTAAAGTTCTTTAAATATGAGAATAAAATTCTTGTGTTTTGGGCAAGAGTAAGTTGTTGGTATTGATGTTTGTTTGGGATTTACACCGTACCCTATCATAATGTGTTTGGAAAAATCACAGTTAGATTTTTGATTTTGTCATAAATTTTCACAGATTACATCAACAAAGAAAATACATGCAGTCATTTTGTGGTGGAAACATGTAAGCATCTCATTAATGTAATTATAGGTACATTCATTATGCCATTTTATGTTGTATATTTGATAAGATTGAAAGTTGTCTTACTTGAAAACATCTGAATTTTGCTGAAGCATTTGGGGAAAATGTCTAGCTATGTTTTGTTGTATCATGAAGCTTTTATTCTTTATCTAATTGCTTGTTATAAAACTACACGTTGCAGGAAGCACATCCTGCAGAATATTAATTAAATAGGAACTTTGGGTTTTATATCCTTCCTTGTGTCAGAGTGCAAACAGCTCCATGTGCTTAGTCCTTTACCTGTAGGACTTAATGCAGGAGATTTGTTTTTTAAAGCTGTTCTCTTCTGAAACACTGGTATTCTTTGAACAGTCTTCGAATGTAGAAATAACATCTTTATCAGACATCTTTGTGGATGTTCATGATTGCAGCTTTTCTGGGTGGAAACTGAACAGAATTTTATCAAACTTGCTGGTGTTTAGTTCTCCTTAAGGTCTTTGTTAATTGCAGATGAACGTAATGTGTAGTAAAAGAAGCAAATCAATTTGCCAACAACTCGCTATCTGCAGTTTTTCAGGCAGTTACATTTCTGGTGGCAGCAGCAGCACCTTCTAGGTTTGACAGTTGTCCAAACAGATAGCAAGACTGACTGCCTTGTCCAGACTTTAATCCAGAAATGGAGTGGTAGTAGTGTGTTCCCAGCTGTGCTTCTGCGCTGTTGTTCCCTTAGTAGGCAGGTTGAGAAGATAGTGTGGCTGGGTTACAAGCTGCTATGGAGAATGAAGACTCACCTCCTCATGATTCATTTTGATTTTGAAACGGGAACAGTAAATGTTTCTTGGTTTTGCTATGTAGAATAGAAATTGCTTCATAGTGATGATTTGGCACATATTGGCTGCTACAAAACTGTTCAGTTTCCAAAATAAGATAATAGATGTTCCTTCGTTCTGCTTCCTGTAATCCAGCTTCAAGTGTCTGGAAATATTCTGAAGTGTATATCACGAGGAACACTAGTTCTGGAATCTGATAACAGAGGAAGTGAATGCTTGGGGAATGAAAATTCAAGTGAGATGTATTTGGAGTTTAAATGTTTTTATTTCTTTGTTGAAAAACACATAGCTGCAGTGAGCTGGTTATTGATTGCTTCCTGAAATTATTTGCTGTGTTATTTATCTAATACAGGTAATGTGCCACTGTTTTAGTGGTCTATTGCATGTGTTTGTTCTAATGATCACTTTACTCAATAGGATGATGCCAATGGGTGGAATGATGCCTCCTGGGCCAGGAATACCACCTCTTATGCCTGGTATGCCACCAGGTAAGTCAGAGCTGTCAGACAGATATTGTGGTGAGAGATGTTTACTTACGCTGAGATTTAGGATTTATGTAAAGAGTGTACAGATGTTCACTGCCAGCTTTTTGCAGTTCAGTTGCTGCAGAAGCCACTCTTGTGCAGAGGTGAAGTGGTTATTTCTGGCTTTTGACTAAGATAAGTCATGGTGTTTGATACTGCTGTGCAGGTAAAAAAAAAATTGAATACAAATTTATTCTTCCTATTATTGTTCGTCTGGCTTTTTTATTGCCTGGTCCATCTCCACTCACTTATTCTAGTGTCTGTTTTATAATGTAAATATATATATAATGCATATAATACAAAAATAGGAAACTATTGTGGAGAATGAGAAACAGTCTTGGTGACACTCAGATAAAGGTGTCTTGACTTCTGATTGCTTATGTAGCTAGAACAGAGCTACTTCTTGAGCTTCTCAGCTTGTTGAGCAGCCTTATGTTCTGGTAGTGATGACTTGAGTCACTGGTTTGCCCAATTTTCTCACTGGAGAAGACGAGCCAGTAGGACAGTCGTGCTGGTTCTGCTGCACAGTGTGTGATGGAACCTTTGTGTGCTGTTAAGTTCTGTCTCTGGACCTCTCCTAGACCCCCCCACATACAAAGTACATGTTTTGCAATGATAGGCTACACAAAAATTTTAACTTATTTTCAGTTAACTCGCATGCTAGCTTGAGGGCCTTTTATTCAAAGGAATGAGGAATGCTAATTCCTGTGTCACCGTCTGTTGTGCTGAAGGTCCCCAGCAGAGTGTTTCAAAGTACTGATACTATTCAAGCAGCTCCCTTTTTTAGATTTTGTAACAATCTTAGCTACAGTCACGATAGCATAGAAACAGTGTTCTGGAAGCAGAGGCTGTGCTGATTGCGTTGATTTATTTGGGAGTGTAAGCTTCTCTTATTGAAGCTGTAATGGAAATGTACAACTTGATTCAGTATTGCTCTGAAGTGTTTAAGGTAACTGCCTACGCACGGACCTTTGTTGGTGACCAACAGTAAATTAAGGTAGTAAAGCTTTGTTTGAATGATCTAGAGAGGGACATGGAGAATTAACAGTCTTGACATGAGCCTGTGAGCTCTGATCTAGTTGCTGTGTATGGTGACTGCAGTCTAGACCTGTTGGCTGAAAAGTGTATCTCCCTAGGAAGGCTTTGTCATAAGGAATACTTGGAACAGAATCCTCTAACGGGATGTTTCTGTTCTTGAGCCTGAGACCTTACAGGTTCTTTGTGGTTTGTAGGTATGCCACCACCTGTTGGTCCTCGTCCTGGGATGCCTCCTATGACACAAGCACAGCCTGCTACAGCACCGGGCATTCTTAACAGACCTCCAGCTCCTGCTGCATCAGCACCCACCCCGCAGCCTCCAGTTACTAAACCACTCTTCCCAAGTGCAGGGCAGGTAAGGTGTCTCGGCTGGAATCGATGGGTATAGTTTTCAAATTACCGTGTGTCAGTTTCCTCTGTTATTAGGAGACAAGAAATGACTGGTTACACTTCTTGCTTGTGTTGATTATTAAGTTTAATCCACTGTAGCGTTTGAATGAATTTTAAAAGATTGTTTTGTTTGTCTTGCAACAGCCATGAAACCAGACAGAAGTTCTTGTAAGCAGTGGGGAAGAAAGTAGGAGGCAAAACAGTTCTTTCATTAATCCCTTTAGTTTGCATTTTATTTGGGCTCTTTGGGTGGGTGAAGGGAGGCATCAGTCAGCTGTAGGAATCTGATTGCTTAGAACTTAACCTAAAACTGCTTAAGTGTAAATCTTGACAAGACTTAGTCTCTCTTGTTCTCATAATAAGGGGTTATTTGCCAGCAGAAGGCCTAATTAATTCTATCATTCTGTTCAGACTGGATTAAGCATTGTCTGAATGATTTAACTAAGGCAGTAATGCTGTTTAAATGTTTTGGGAAGGGAAGTGGGAATTGACAGAATGGCTTGTGACCTCTGTATTTTGGTTTCTCTTGCTATGTGTAAGTCCTTAAGTATTTAACCTTCATGGTGTCCTATTTGCATTTTGGACTTCTACAGGGAAGGTACTCATTTACAAAAACGCAGCCCTTAGCATAAGAAACCCTTTCATCTGGATACTTTCCACCCATTTGTTTGGAGACTTTTCACTGTTTCCTTTCTTTTATGCTACAGATGGGGACACCTGTCACAAGCTCAAGTACAGCTTCCTCCAATTCAGAAAGTCTGTCAGCGTCTTCTAACGCTCTGTTTCCTAGCACAGCACAAGTACGCAGGAAGTCACAGTTAAAAACAAATTGCTTTGCAACTTAACCCTTTGGACCGTTCTGTAAAATCTAAAGTGGACTAAACATCTTCAGATCATTTCTTACATTCCTGATTATGTTTAGCTGGTAAAATTGCAGAGTCCTTAACTGTGAGTTGCATCTTAGTGGAAATAAGCATGTTGAAGTGCCCAATTTTTCTTAGACAGCGTGCAAGTATGAAATGCTATGTCCTGGTTCTAAAGGGTTAAAAAAGCATGAAAGCAGTTAAATGCATTTTAGTGGCAGTGGTTAGCTTGATGCATGGTGAAGGCTTTTTAGTTCGATGTTTAATACAGTATGTCAGAATGTAGGGGATTTTGTGAGATGCATTATGTGCAAAAATGGAGTTATTTTTATTAGAAAGTTCAGCAAAGTATTGTAAGCATCCAGTGACCAGAAACAAAAGCATTCTCTCGTAACTAAGGCTTGTTTTGAGGATTGTTGCATCTTCGGCCTGATAAAGCCGATTTTTCTTCTAAAATTTTCAATTAAGAGCAACGTAGGAAAGCGTAGATGCTGTGATCTTAGTGGACCTTGTGTGCTTTGAGTTGATTCTTTACTTAGAAATGATACTGAAGATCTGTAGAGAGACGTAGTTCTTTAAAGAACACTGCAATACTTTCAGAGAGAATGCTTACAACGAAAGACCTGACACAGTAGTTTTCTTAATGTTCAATAACAACATTTTTAAGTACCTAATTTTAATGAATGCTAACACTCTGAGCTGTACTCTAAACTAATGGTTGCTAAAGTATGCTAGTTTATTGAGAAAATTGTGATTTTTATGCTTATAGCTGTTAATAAAACTGTAATTTAGGAAGGATTTAGGCATTTACCGACCTCAGTACTTGAGGTGAAAACTTTGGTAGGATTTTTTGTTGTTCCTTTTTTCTAGTTGTGGCTTTTGACCTGCGAATTCTAGACTTTCCTGTGTGTGTATGTTTGTATGTATGTATATACTGGGTTTTATTTTGTCTTGTTTTCAGTTGCTTTAGTATGTGATAAGGCTGAACTTTACTTTTGTCAAGCTTATTTTAAATATGTATTTCACTGGAAGGTTTCAAAGGTCTAACAGATGTAATTTAAGTTTTCTTATGCTTTAGGAAATAAATATTGATCCATCTCTGTGCTTCACAGGCTGCAGCAGCTGTTCAAGGTCCGGTTGGTACTGATTTCAAACCTTTGAATTCTACAGCAGCAACAACAGAGCCCCCCAAACCTACATTCCCTGCTTACACACAGTCTACAACCTCAACCACTAGCACCACAAACAGTACTGCAGCTAAACCAGCTACATCTATAACAAGTAAGCCTGCTACCCTTACCACAACCAGTGCAACCAGTAAGTTGATCCATCCAGATGAGGATATATCACTGGTAAGTCAACATATTTTCATTATCTTGCTGAAAATGCTATTTATGCTGATATGGTTGACTTAATTAGAATATACTCTGTGCACTGTGCAACGCTTTTAGTAAAGGTGAGACAACAAAACGTGCAGAATTAAAAGAATTATGCTTTGATGAAACATCCTTGGTTGACAAGTAGTGACTGGTATATTGCATTGATCCTGCAGTCAGAAGTCTTACTTCTGGTGATAAGGAATTGCTTAACCCAAAATGTAACTTGGACTTCATTTCATGTGGCTTAAGCTTGAATTTAGCTAAGTACAGCTGGTGAGTGTCAAACAAAAGGCTTAACGTTTTGAAGTTATCTTGATGCTATTACAGCAGTCAGGAATCGAGACTGTGGGTAAAACAAGCAAACCTTCAATTCAGTTCATGTATCTCCAGATTTGCTTTTGTCTCATGTTGTGAGGAAAGGACAGTCTTCAGAGAACTTGTGTTATATACTTGAGTGATCAGTGTTAGTGCAGTAACTTTGAGGGAAGGGAGAAAAAATCCAAATGTTACCATGGAATGTTCACTAGTAGCAATCTTAAATTTCTAAAATGATGATAATTCAGTGCCTTTAATCTACTTTATTACATTTATTCACTTTTTTTTTTTGCAGAGTTTTAGTCTTAGAGTGTGTTATGCTTGTCTGTCCTCATTTTAGGAAGAGAGAAGGGCTCAGTTGCCCAAGTATCAGCGTAATCTTCCTCGTCCGGGACAAGCTTCCCTGGGTAATCCACCTGTTGGACCAATTGGAGGTATGATGCCACCACAGCCTGGAATTCCTCCGCAGCAACAAGGAATGAGGCCTCCAATGCCACCACACGGTAATTAGACATCTCTGCATTTTCTTCTCTTTGAAAGATTTATTGGCTGTCTTTTTTAATTTTGAAATGTCAGGTGCTGTGAAAAACAGCTTTTCACAAATGCAGCTGTGCCCATTTAAAAAAAAAAAAAAAAAAGAATACTTTGCATCTTAAATGTTTTGTTTGTAGGTCAGTATGGTGCTCATCACCAGGGCATGCCAGGCTACCTTCCTGGAGCAATGCCTCCTTATGGTCAGGGACCTCCGATGGTGCCCCCGTACCAAAGTGGACCTCCTCGACCTCCAATGGGAATGAGACCTCCTGTCATGTCGCAAGGTGGCCGCTACTGATGCTACTACACACGCTCTAATAGGTTTGGAGATTAAACCTTTTCTCATCTTGTGCTGTTAATATAGCCAAGCTTCCGTCAATTAAAGCTTCATTGTGACTTAAAAAAAAAAAAAAAAAAAAAAAAAAAAAAAAAAATAGTATCTTCCCCACATGCAAGGCAACTAGGAACTATTGGACATTCTTATTTTACATGGGAAAATTTATTTGGAATATTAACAGGAACTTTTCCTGATGTTGCAATTTATACTGTATGGCTTCTTTTTCATGTTTCATCTAGGTTTTTAGAAGTGAAGTATAGTAAATATGGTTCGTTAAATTGTGAAGGCGCTGGAATTACATGAACATACCACCTTAAAGGCAAGTTCTGTAACATTATGTTGCTATTTGTGAAATGATGCCTTCACAGCACTTCAGGTGCTGTTGGACTTCGTGTCCCCAACATAGTTTGGTGAGGGCTGTAACTGTTCCCAACTACTTGTACATTTAAGTCTGAACATGTAACGATATTTAATGTATTTAGAATTCCTCCTGTTTCAGGGTTCAAGTAAACTGACCCACTAAGGTCGTGTGACTTTTCTGTACTGTTATAAACTTCATTGTAATAAAAGAAGATAAAAATTTATATGCCTTTTTATTCATGACCAGCTGCGGACAACTGCCTGAAAGGTTTGTACAGATGCATGCCATGGTAGCTGTTGGTGTACTGAACACACTGGTGCTGTTTTCATGAAGCTGAATTTGTTGTTACAAAAGTTGTTTAGGTGCACGTCTGAGTAGGCAAGACCTGTACACTTATTAACTGACTATTGAAAAATGAGAGTGCAGGAGGCACATCTTAGATCTTGGTTGTGATTTCTCCCAATGGCATATGTCTCGTTAGCCGTGCTTTCTTGTCCTCAGCAAATTTTAAATGATTTCTAGCCTGGCGTTTACTTGCAGGATGTAAAAGCAGTTGCTGCAAGGTGCATCCTAGTGCCAGACTTGTCCTGTTAGGTCATTCTTCATCTGATGCTTTTTAATGTTCAAAAGGATACCCATTTCAAGAGCCTTTTATTTAGGTGGAGATTTCTAGAAGCTTAGGTGCATGTCACATGGGTGAGTGACTTCCAGTTTTTGTATTGAAGTTGACCTGCAAAAGAGAAAAAAGAACTTCATCCCAGGGTGTGTGAAGGAGACAGAGGGGCCTAGAACAATGTTGTGTGCTGTATTTCCACTTCCACAATACTCAGAACTTGAAATTTCATCATTCCTTGGGATGAACTGTCCATTTTGTACTCTGATGTGATACAATGCAAGTTTCCTGAGGTGATTAATGGAAGTGACCTCCTCATCGGTGGTCCTACTTACAGTTATAAAAGAGAAGTCTTATCCATAAAGATTATTTATCTGTTTATAAGTAAAGTTATAGAAGGCCACCCAGATTGTAGTTCTCTGCATGTTTGACATGACTGTGTTAGCATTTTGTGTTTCTGATGAGAAGGAGAAGGCAGAGGGCCATGTTCTGGAGGGAAGAGAAGTGAGAAGAGCGTTCCTGGTCTCTTCACAGCAAGTAGGGAGGTGAATTTTCCGTTTGCAGGTCAACTTTAAATACATGTTCCAGCCTCAAGCCTTATCCGTGCAATTTAATTTGTGGGATTGTCTCTGTTAGGGTGTGCTAGAAGGAATGTCAGCATTTTTGTGTCAGTGTAAGTTCCACAGTGTTTCTGTTATTGATGAATATTTTTTTCCCACTCAATCCTGAGCATTGTGGCTCTTTTACTTGAAGGACCTGAGGGGTTTTTATCTAAACTTAAGTACTCCACGTGGCTTTAATGAGTGCTTCCTGCAGTCATTTGGAAGTGCAGTGTGGTTAGAATACTACATAGTCTCAGCATCAAATTTTTTGTGTCACAACACGTCATAAAGGCACTGACACATCCAGTACTGATGCCAGCTAACAGCCTTTGTAGAACCATGAAGAATTGTCGTGCTTTTCCTGAAGTGTTGTTTTCAGCCCATAACTCCAAGCCTCTGTTGAGAAGCAGTTCTCTCTGATCACTGCTGCCTGCCGCTCACCTGTCAGATGTGCAGCATTTGGCTTGCAGATGTGCTGAGTGGGCCTTGATGTCTGATCTTCTGTTAGCTTTTCATCTTGCTTTATGCATAAGTCTAACAGAACTTACGCTTACACAGTACTTTTATATTCTGGTTTACCTTAGTTTACTACTTGGTTTTCTTCTGTTTATCTAATAGGGATATCTGGAGCAAAGCACTAGAGAGATCTTTAATGTGTTTTATTTATCCCTTGTTGTAATGATACACATAGAATTCTTACATTATACATTGATCTTAACTTCTGCTTTTAGAACTTTGCAAATTCTTGCTTTTTCTGAAGGTTGTATTGCTGTTGTAAGAATGCTTAGCCTTCCTGCCCCTAGTAAAGTAAATGCCTTCTCCCTCTGGTGGCTTTCTGTAACCCTTTGGTATGTTATTTTCAGATTCCTACTTTTCCTGGGGGTGTAGTTGAGAAGAGTACTGCATGTACTGTGAACGTAGCTTATTCTGCAAGTTGTCTTCACCAGGAGTTCCCCCCATCAAATAATAAATGTGTGATTTTTCCAGTAATAGAATCATTCAGTAGCTAATAGTACCTAGGCTTAGAGTGTGGACACATCTTAAAATGGAGTTTTCCTCAGTAGTAATGCTGTTACAAACCCTCAGCTAAGCTCTGCCACGTGTTACTCATGTTGTACCCTAATAATATGCAACAAGCAGTTGAAAGTTTTTTTCTTTGTGATCTTCCCTTGGATACTCCCTTTGCTCCTGTCCTTTCTGTGCTGTAAGAGCTGCAATGTAGCTGTCTGCAGTTACTGTTATGTCTCTCGTGTACTCTTTGAAAACAGGCAGGTACTTCTGTGCGTTTGTTGTCTGTTGGTCCCTGCCTTCATTTCTTTGGATACTGCTTCTTAACGTTCAGAGAGTTGGATTTATGGTGCCCTTCCCAAAAAGGGTAAAACAACTTTGAATAATTGCTTGTTTAAAAACTCTACAGTACAAAGTTACAACGAAGCTGTGCATGCAAAATTGCTGATAGAGTGCAAGCATGCAGTTTTTTTGCTTTAGTTCATCTTTCCCTAAAAGGAGATTGCAGCAGTGTTCAGGACTACATATCTTGTGTTATGGAACCGTAATGACAGAATTATAGGCAGAAGCTTTGTTTTTTCCTTGTTGTCTGAACTTGTCGCAGCTCTCATAGCAAAACGAGATGTTGCAGTTGGGTCAAAATCTTCAGTTAAATTTGAACGCTGTGCCAGTGTTGAATTAGAGGGGAAAAAAAAAAGGAGAAAGCTCTGACCAAAGTGGGGAAAAGATGTAAAAGATGTTAAAGCAAGGTAGGAATATCTTGAAGTTCTGAACAGTCTATATATGGTCTCTCAATACCATTATGAGAGAGAGGCTTATCTTGTTACATTTGCTGAATTTTAGAGCTGGATGTCTGATACTGACATGAGGAAATCTCAGAGGAGTTCAGACTAGTTCATCAGAAGGCTTGCTGGGATTGTTTTCTTCTGTCCTTAGGATACCTTTCTACTTTGACAGTCTGCTTTAAATAAATTCCTGAAAATTGATCTTGTGTATACGGACCAGAAAGTCTTTATTTTGTAAAATGCTTGGAGTTTGTTTTTTTTTTCCTTCTAGAGATGAGATTTTTAGGTGCTGATAATACATTTGAGGCTGGGATGTATATGTAATAATTTCAGTGGATTACTGTTCCTTGCTCTGTGCATGCATAAGAGAACAAAAGCAAGCTTCTAGAAAGACATTCAGCTGCATCTGCCTTCTATGGTTTCTGCTGTTGTTTTCCATATGGACTTACTGAGTGATAGCTAAATACAGCTATGTCACTTGCTCTCTTAAAGCTTGGCTAAAATTGAATCTGTAACCTGGAGTTACTTTGCAGAATCAAAGCATTCGGAATACGAGATGGAAAATTAAATACTCAGTTTTCTAAACAGCAAGAAGGGCATTCTGGCTCTTCAGTTAAGCTGAGACTGATATCCGGTCTGTGAGCTGGGGCTGCAATTTAAAAATTAATACTATTTAAAAATAATAGTAAATGTCTTAATAATTGTACTGGTCTAGCTTCTACATAAAAATTAAGGTGAGTGTGAACACATTCAGTGGCTGATGGAATCTTTCCCTCTTCTTTTGGTGAACTGGAGCACTAAGTACTGTCAGTTAGGGGAGAATTGCCCCAAAACAATTGGCTTTGTTCCACTGATCAAGTTACAAAACAAAACAAAGTGTCCAGGTGAGAAATAGCTACAAACAGTTGCGTGGGCCTGCCGAAATAGGTGATGTAGCAGTCATTTCCTTTGGTTTGCTTGATCACTGGAATTTTGTTAACTTTGAATGCATGTCTTTCACTTAATTGGGTCATGTTTTTTCTAAAACTCCAATTTTTCTTCTTCCTATAGCCCTGCCATAGGACAGGCTGAGGCAGAGTCTCAGTGTTGCCCTGTTCAGTCTGAGGCAAGTGGGATTTATTTTATTCGTTCTGGGGGCTTTCACAGCTTTATGGCTGTTGGATATTTATGTCCCCAAACTTGCAGCAAGTTTGGTGAAGGCCCCTACTTTTATTTTAATTTAGGTTTTTAATTCTCTTTTGGTAGATGGGCTCTATATTAATATTAATCTTTTTATTATCACTGTTTTTTTAAGAGTCTCGGGGAGGGAACGTGTTTTGAGAGGTTTGGGTACTGTTTCACTTATGGTCAGGGAGTCCTTCAGCCACACTGTACCCCTGCCCCCTTCCCCTGTGTTTTATTTGTGCTGTATTTGTTCTGCTTTTGACAATGTGACTTTTTATACATGCTGCTGGTTCAAAAACTACAGATTAATTACTAATTTTTCTTCTGGGAAGATGTATTTAACAAAGTGCTTGAAATACTTAGGCTTTAACTAAGAAGTGACATCCCTTGTCACACAGACTTGCAGCCTAAATTACAGTTGCTATGGAGGAGGACGTTGACTGCTGTATTTGTAAGCTGCCCCACAGCAAATGTTGGTGTAGTGCCCTGTAAAGAACTAGAGATTCCAGTCGATGGAAGAATGAGAAAAGAAAGCTGAAGTTCTTTCAGCTTGTCACTTTCAGGAAAACCTTTTCATTGATCACTTAAATACACTGAACTTCACAGTAATTTGTTGCATCAGTGTACTGGGAAAAAAATCATCTTACTTTCTTGAAACCACGTGGGCTTGTTGCATATCCAAAATTTGCTGAAGGTTATGGCTATCTGAATTTACTACTTTTGCAGAATAGCTGGCAAAAACTTCCATCCTTTGTGAAGAAAAACTGGTGCTGCTCACTTGGAGTACGCTGATTTTGAATGCTTGAGGTGGCTTAAAGAGAGCTTCAGAAGAGCAAGTTTTGTCCAAGGAAGTTGTTAATGTTCTTGTGGAGCACAATCTATATTTCATTTCTCCAGGAGTGGGATCAGTAATGACGCACTTGGAGATTTTCAGTAAGTGGCATTGAAGGATAAGGAGTGGATTTCTCATGGGGGGCCCAAGTAGTCTCTGACTGGAAGTTGCCGTGTCCTCTGCTTACTGTTTCAGAGTAATTGCTGATTTCCTTACTGTGGTGCTACACTTAGTGCTTTAAGATACACCAGCACAACTGGTCATTATTTCACTTATTCAGTCTCTAGGAGCATTTGGCTTAGTTCTTATTTCCCCAGGGTATCTAAAGAAGCCATTTAACTAAGTGTTCAGCATGACTTGTACTTCTTTAAGTAGCTGAATCTCTGAAAGACTCCAGATGGGGAAAAAAAAAAAAACAAATTTTGGATGGATTGTGTTGAATTTTGTCATCAGTTTTCATGTAAGAATGATGCAGCATGGGGTAGTTTTTAAGCAGCTACTTGTATTTAGCTTGTGTCACAAACATGTAGCTGAAGTTCACACAAGTGCTTCATTGTCTGTAAATGAAGTGCCCTACTTAAATCCACTTGGGCTACCTCAGTACATTGATATTCTGGTGAGAGCTGAACATTCAAACTTCCGTTTTTATTGGAGCTAAGTAGGTTTACATGTTCATGGAAAGTATGTGCCAGGGATGCAGTTCCTGTCTCCCTTGTTGATCTAGCTGTGTGTACTGGTACTTCAGGGCAGATGAGCCATTTCTTTGTATTTTTTGCATGATTTCACACACCACGTGGCACTTCATAGCATCACAATGCTATGGATTTTTTTTTTTTTTTTTCTTAAAGCTTTTGGAAAATTTCAAGAAGATGAATTTCACACTGCTTCTGAAAGATGCATTTGACTCCAGGATAATTCCATGTACTGCTATTCCGTGACAATACCTTATGAACTGAGGCTTTTTGCTCTAGGTTTTTCCTGTTGTTCAAACATTCTTTGCTTCTACCCTTTACATCGCTGTCCTTTTCTGTAAGTCTCCATGGATTGGACAGGACCAACCTGTTCCCTGTTTGGGTGTTGGTGTTTTTAGCAGGCTATATCCGTGTTACTCTGACCTGTTACCACAGACTAATGTTTGTGCTTAAATTTACAGCAACTAATGATGTGCATTTTCCGTTTGCTTTGTGCCTCGTCCTAAAAGGTATGTGTGCAGAGTACTGCTGTCTTTCTAGTCCAAAGGATGGCATGCTGACAAGGTGCAAGTATCTGCTCAGCCTTTAGAATAGCTGCCCTGTCGTCTCTTTAAAACAACCTGAAAAGTTCCCATAGATGGCAAAGGGTTCACATCTTGTTCTTTTGGTGCATCTTTGTTGGTGACCTCCTTCATGCCTTGTGGATCTAAGGAGGGTAGTACCAAAAGAAACTTAGACTGTAAATGGAATTTATTGATTTGGAAGGTTGGCAGCATTTTTACTGGCACTCCAGTGCGTGCTGTCAGTATTGCAGCAGTGTCATAAAGCTGTATAATGCTCTGTGGAATTTCATTTCTAATGACTGTCATATTTTAGTGAGTTGACTTTCATAGGCAGTAGTGGAGGCAGGTTTTGGAGAGCTTGGTTTTTAAGACTGTGGAGTGCTATGTGACTCTTCTTAAACATTAGGAATGCCTGAAATTCTGCTAAACTGAATGAATTTTAACCCACTGGTGCTGAGGAATGAAGGAGAGACGTAGAAAAGTACGTAGCACAGCAGGAGTTTTGACTGGCTTTAGAAGTATTCTGTGCCATGCCTGATAACTGCTATGACCCGTAGTACTGTGAGGGCAGGCCATCTCCTTTTAAAAGCTTACCTTTTAAAAGTACATATGTACCTGCAGTCAAGGCAGCATTACCAGTGAAATGCTGGCAGTTGCTTCAGAAATGCAGTGATAGCGACTGCTGCGATTTTCAGTCAGAACTAAGTGAGGTAAACAGGAGTTTGGGAGTGAGAAGTCTCAGAGGCAGCCCTGCAGGGGATGGAGTGAGTGTTCATTGAGTGGCTGAAGTGTTATGTATGGAGCTGATTTGTTTGGGAAGTTCTGGAAAAAACTTTCTGATAATTTTCTTGTATTCTCCTTTAAACAGCAGCTTTATGCAATCTTTTGATTATCAGAGAATGCAGATTTTTATTCAGGCTCTACTGGAAGAAAATACAATTCTAGTACAGAATTCAGAGATTCTGTTGTATAGTGAATGCTCTTTTGCTCCGTGGAAGGTCTTGGGAGGTGTGAGGGAGCCAGGCGCCTCGGCGTGCCGCCTCTGCAGCCAGCAGCATCCCGTCCTGAGCTGTGTGCTCCTGGCTGGTTCCTTCACTCCTTTGCTCTCAGCGTCCTGATGAGTCTGTGCTGGCTGTCGGTGAGGACTTACATTTGTGCACCGGACCTCTGTTGTGAGTAATAACACACCTTGTCCCTTCTGAACAAGTTTATGCTGACTTGTTCTATTGCTTTAGGCTCACCTGCAGTAGTACCAGGCAGCAGCACTGCCGCTTCATAACGATGAACTGAGCTTCTCTGCAGATAAGTCCTGAGCATACCTTAATGCTCGTGTTTCTCAGAGAAGCTGAAACATTCTGAGAAAACAGTAGAGATTGAGTGCAAGCAGCATGTTAACCACAAGCAGATGATCCACATGTTGGCATTACAGTGTGTTAGGTAACTACGTTGCAGCAGATCCAGGTTTCTCATGTCTCAAATTTTATCTTAAATCTTCCCTACATCTTAGCCATGTTCCCAGGTTCTTTTCAAAGAGGGTAGGTGTTGAATTTCAACTTCTGCTGCCTTAAGTAATTGGTATCTATAAATGGTTTTGGATGGTAGCAACTTAGAATTACCCAAAAACTATGCCATACAACTATGGAAACTGTTTCAGTGTCCCAGCTTAGGGAAGTATATAATGCTGTGAAATAAAGATGTCATGCAAAGCTTCTTTCTCTTTGTCCCCCCATTGTGTTGTAGAAGTGTGTGATACAAGCAGGCACTGACTTCTTTAGCTTCTAGTGGAAGAAAATACATTTTGCTCTTTCATTTGTAAAGTCTAGAATAAGAAAACACTTTATGAGAGTATTTAATGAAGGACCCTGGCAATGTAAGTATTGTGATTTCCTTTCTATTTGTGTTAGGCAGTGGGGTTACCTTGTTAAACTTCTGGCTTGTTATCAAAATAACAGAAACGTAAAGGCAAATTGAAAGTGATTTTGTAGTTGCCTTCGCTTCATATGCTTTTCATAAGTGACAAATTGTAGTAATTGAAGTTTGGCAGCTTTTTTAATTGAAAAACTAAATTACAGGTTGAACTCCTTGGTTTAATACAATTTGTGTTTTTGTCAACTAGCAGCAGAATTTCAGCATTTGCTACTTACTGGTAGAGAAGAAATATCCTACAGCACTGCCAGTACAGGTTAGTTTAATCTGTAAGTACCTGATGTTCCTATTTGAAATAATATGTTCAAATGATACCTTTTAAATACAAAGGGAATTTTGATCTCTGAAATGTCACTGTATCTTTGTTACCTACTGCTGTGCTCAGTAGTGAGTGAATACCTAGATAATCTTTTGAAGGTCTCTAATGATTTTAACTGTGCTTGTGGATTAGGTACTATGTGCAAGCCAGGCTGCCTTTGGTGTTTTAAAGTCAGCCAGTTCTCCATTCATTGCCTATTGCAGAAGGCAGTTTTATCAGTGAGCCAATTACAGGATACTTGTGCTGGGGAATAAGCAGTTCAGTTTGTAAGCATTTGTAGCTGTACTGTAACCTTTCTTTAGTTGTTATTATTGTTGCTACCAATAGAATTTTGCTCTGTATAGCTGGTATGCCAGGAGCTGCTTGTTCTCTGACTTATGGCCCACTTCTAGTTAAGCCTCATATGCTTCATCTCCACACATCAGTGTGGGAGATGAAAATCTTCTGTGCTGTGGCACATAGGATAGGTTCACTGCTGGATAAGCTGTGAAACTCTGTGCCTTAACTTACACTTGCTAAGTGAATTGTCACACAGTGATTTTGAGGGGCTCTTGGAAACCATTGGTGGATAATTACACAAGCATGTAGCAGTGCAGAACCCAGACAGACGTTTCACTGGCTCACGTAATGCTTTTCACTGGTTAAGAGTGAAGTGATGCTTCAGCAGTATTGCTTGTTTGGGGGTTTTGAACTTGTATGTAATGTTGCAGATCTTATCAAAGAAAGGTGAGGTTTCAAGGGGATTCCCAGTGCTTGTAATAGTTGGACACAGCCCATCTCCCAGCATCTTCTCTGTGTTGGTTTTCAGGCATTCACACTGAATTGCTTTGCAAAAGTAGTGATGTGTAAACTTTAATAATTTTGCTTGGGTGTTTCTCCCTAGAGGAGAACAAGAGTTGTGTGATAAATTTTGTAGCTTATCTTTGCCTCTGCCTCCTACAACTTCATGGCATGTTTAATAGGAATTCCTCGCTGTGAGGCTGTTATCTTAACAGACCTCTTCCTTCTGCCTTGTGTAGTTGATCCTCATTTACTGAGCACTGTAATAATTATTGTAAGAATAAGTAACGGATTGCTTTTGGCTGCTGGATTACTATTTGAAAACTCAGTTCTGCCCATGGGTGAATGCTGACCTGCACTACTTGTACCCCAGCTTGGCAATTAATGAGGTTCTTTACTGTTTCATCAGCAAACTGTATTTCTTTGGGATAGATCCTAGTGTGAACTAGCAGTAGGATGTTATCTTTCTGTGAAACTTCATGGCAGTTGGAGTATTTTTGGGTAGAATTAAGTTTATTTTCTTTTGAGATGGGACAAAACAGGAGGAATCTGAGCTTTCATATTCAAGTGGGCAGTCTTAAGACGTAGCTCACCTTCTGATGCAGTTACAGCAGTTCTCCAGTCTGATGCAGTTCTGAAGGAGTAAGTGGGGAACAGGGAGCCAGTTCACACTTTGATTCAGGCTTCTGCTTAATGACTTCAGGTTGCCCATTTGGAGACTTTAGTTACTGTACAGCAAACTCAGACTCCTGTTTACCTTCCTCAGGTGAAGCACATTGTTGAAATGTGTCCCTCTCTGCAGTAGCCCAGCTACAGATGCCAGTATGTCAGGAATGTTCTTGTAACTCGATGCAGCTCTTGTGTAAGTGGTATGAAGGGGATGGGATCAGTGATCTTTGATCAAGGGCAAAATATTGATGTTGAATTTGATTTCAGAAGGATTGGTAAGTATGTGCATTGCTTTAGTGCATGCAAGCACCAATAATTGTAGCTTAATTTTTATAGCATTCAGTTTACAAAGAAGATTCAAAGAAAATATGGAGCAAACATCATTGGCATCCCTTGGGAACCTTCTGTGAACTGTATTTCAGGCATAGATAACTGCGCATACGTATGTATGTATACAAACTGCTTTGTAACAGTCTCTGATTAAATACAAGTAAAACGCTGCTTCTGTGTATTTTTTTCTCATCTTGAGACCTATTTAAATTAATGCAAGAAATGTTAGCTGTTTCACAGTGTTTATGAAACCCACTTTCCCTCATGTTATTTAAACCATAACTTTTTACTCGTTCTGTGTCTGTAAACCATTCAGGAACTTAGCAGTCTGTACCTGGAGACGAGAAGTAAGTGAATCTTTTTTAATATTTAACTTTTGGTGTTAATCCACTGTCCTTTTTCTGAACTGATTGTACAGAGAAATTAGATTATGTTGGAGAGGGAGGGGAATGTTGGGGGGAAAGTATCTAGTAGCATTTTCATGAAACCTAGTGGAGGGGACAGTAAGTGGTCTGTCTGTTCTGAACAGCAAAGCACTGGAGAAATGAGGATGTTTGTCCTTGCAGCTCTCCTGCATGGATAACTGCTAGGCAGGTTGGTCTCATTTAATTGTACTCATTGGACTCACAGGTTAATTTCTTGAGAGATACTGAAATATTAAACCCTGGATTTTCAGTACTGTGTGACATGATGCAGTGTTTGTCCTCAGGCCGTTTCAGCAGTGTCTGAGACATTCAGAAGGTGTGCTCTGATGGCCTACAGGGGGGCCTAGACAGGAGCTTTGTCACCGGGCTTGTTAAAGCTCTCCCAAATTTGATTCAGTACTCAGATTGTTGGGGTATTTGACCGTGACCATGTAAAGGATGAGCCTGTATTTAATCTGCCCCATGACTCCTGTTTTGTAAATAAAGCAGGGCCACCCTGAGTGCAGGTGTATGCTTTTTCTCTCTTGGCTTTTCTGTTTGTTAGTTTGGAGGAAGTCAGATAGTAATTATCTTTGTAATACAGTGAAGCAGAGTTTGAATCGAGGCCCTTGTGTTTCTAAGAGGTAAGAATGGGTGCCTTTGAAAAGAAAGACTCCTCCTTGTGTGTTAGAGGGAAGACTTTCAAGTCTGTAGTGGTGTGGACATTTATATATGTATATATATGTTTATATATGTATATATATGTTTATATGCATTCCTTTATTTCTTGTTGCTTCTCCCCCCTGCCCCCCTTCCTCCTGTCCTGCACCACAGCTGGAGCTTTGAATAGCAGGAAGGGGGGTTTTATGCTAAAATATGAACCTGAGGTTGGTGTGACTGTGCTGCTCCCCTTCCCTTGCACCTTCTCCAGCCCTGGTTCTGAAACCTGCATTAATCCATGTGTGCTAGCAGTGTAGCTCACTTCATCACTGAAGTCCTTTTATGAGAGTACAAGTCTTTATTTAGTAGAATTATAAAAGATCTTTACATGAGAAATACAAAAATAGGAAATAGGCTTTAAATCTCCTTAGTTAAAAGTACTTTTTTTCTTTAAGCTGTAGAAATAGTAAATTGCTCTCACACACTGTAAAACTAGGAAAAACCTTACAGTGAAGTGTTCCAGTACAGTCACTGTAAGTGCCCAATCGCTCACACACAGAACAGTCCATGATTTATTAGTTGGAGACACAATGGCACAACCAGGTCAATCTCCACTTTTCCTCTAGCTAATGAATTTTTTGAAAGATGCAGTATAACTTTTCCAGTTGCTATGATTAAATATAAATACAAAAATGATTAAGGAAGATTTGGCATGCTTTGTACTCGTACCACTTTTTACTAGGAAGTGGTATCAAAAGTTATTAAATAAATATAAATATGTTAAATAAATACATTGCAGACGAACACACCCACCTCTGTCAAATTAGAATTCAGCATTTCTTCATCCTTCGCACACACTTGATGCTTTGTGTCACAGCTTTAGGGCCAAAGAAGAGAAATACTGCATCTTTAGAAACACAGGTTCCCATGGACATAAAGCAGAAAATGAGGTAACTTTGCAGCTTTCTTCCTCCTATCAATTCACTGCTTGATACGTCTCAGTTCCCATTCAGCTTCTTTTACCCAGGACTCATTTCTTACCTCTGGCTCTGCAGCTGCCACTCCTTTTCCTTAGAAGAAAGGAAGGAATGCTTGCAGTGGGTGAATCATTGCCATTTCAGGAGCAGTTCCTTGCTGACATCAGCGTATCTCCTGAAGTTACTTGGGGGCAGACGCTGGTTTTTAAGTCAAGTACTGCTCTAGCTCTCCTGTGAATACTGGCTGACATTAAAACAGTGAGGTTTGCGAAGCCTTTAACTTTTTTCAAGTTTTCTAACTTCATCTGCTCAAATAGGAGGGTCTGTTTCCAGGGTAATGCTGATTTAACATGGGTGAGTCTTTCTAGAGGTTTTGCCTCACTAAAAACAATTCCCTCTACCCTCACTGCAGTGTGCCTAATGCAGTGTGGCAGTAGTGCAATGGCAGGCTCTGATTTGCTGCAACTAAAAGGTTCCTTTTGCGGGTCCCACCCCCTAGTAATTCTATAATTTCAGTTACTGTATTTTGATTCTTTGCAGTAAAACGCAACTTACAACATCAAGTGCAGTATAGGGATAGTGGATGATGCTTATATCCAGCTTTTGCTCTCCCTCTTCACTTTCCTGAGACCTTCCTTGGGATAACTCCAGCACCAGGGTTCATTGCTTTTGCAGCGTCATTGCTCCTTGGTCTCCTACTATCTCCTGATCCAGTGCAGGCACAGTACAAGGCACTTCTTGGAAGCTTGGTTTCCTCAAAGAGACAATTCAGCTCTTTGATCCTGCTTTTCCCTGCAAAAGGTAGGCCTGTTTCACAGCCTTGTGCTTGGAATGTTGGTTCCAGAGAAGAAAGTTTGCTCTGCTCTCAAACAGCATCTCCTGCAATGCTCTTCTCTGCAGAGTCCTGATCATAGTAGTGCTGAAACAGTCTTTCGTGGCAGCAGATATGCATTGCGTGGTAGGTATGTAGGAGCAGGTGAGGGAAACGAGCTGTGAAGTAATGTACAAAATCATCTGGGATGGAGCCCAGGGTCTCCTGCACCTCAGGAGGCAGTTCTCTGTAATGGTGCTTCTGTAAGAAACAAAACAACAGGGGAAAGCTCAGGTGGAGTCTTCCAGTCTACCTGTACAAGGTGTATTTTCATGCACAAGTAACCTGTTAGTCTGTTGGGTTTGCATATGCAGAAACTTTACCTTATTTCTCATTGCCCTCAGAAGGTCCCGTACTGAGCCTCCTTTATACGATCTGAATTTTCGAAGATCTGCCAAAGAAATTAATGTTTGTTTTGATGCTGGCAGTTGTAGTTGCTGGCCTCAAAAGAAATGTATGCTTATGAGGTGTTCATTTATTGAGTGAGACACATCACAAAATTTGAATAAATGCTGTGGTGACAAGGAAAAACTGTGCCAGAACTGAGACCCTGTCCTTACTTTCTTGTCCGTGCAAACCGGGGATAACAGAGAACTCGCTGCCGTTTTGACAAGACACCATTTGTTACCTGTCTGAAGAGGAACAGTGATGTGCTCCCTCCAGTCCATTTTCACCACCTCTCTTCCTCCTCTTTCTAACTGCTTGACTATTGGACCATCTAAAGCTTCTTTCTCTATCCGGTCACTGACGTCCTGGAAGAGACACTCCAGTTATTTTCAGTTGCATTCCTAAGCATTTCCCAGTTATTTCAAATTACAGCTTCTGGCCTCCTGATAATGGAGGTGATTCTACTTTGGGACAAATACTACGCAAGGAATAATGCTTGGGATGAAGATGGTGAAATACAGTCACAGAAGACTATCTGCCAAAAGCTGTATTTCTTTTTAATCACTGAATAGAAAAGACTGGAAAGAACCTCAAGTCCTCACCCAGTTCCCACCCCACGCTTAATACACACATTCACCACAGCAGTCTACTCTCTTCCTAAAAACTGGCTTGGCAACATATTATCCTGCACTGTGTCACCTCAAACATGCACAAAGTAGGGATGAAAACAGTGAATTCAAGATCTGATGGTTGTGACAAACCTGAAAAAACTGGAGCTGCTTTTCTAAACTCCAAAAGAATGGGTGTTTTAGCACACAGCTGGCAGACGGACGTTTCTGAGGGTCCATGTTTATCATTTGCTCTATTAAATCACGAGCCACTATGTCTTCTGCAAGGAAAAGGGTGAGCATTCAGAAGCTGCAGGGAAAGCTAATATTCTGTATGAAAATGGTTAAATTTCCTATTTCCTCCTACGCAATCCCAAGCAAGAGCTCAAATGACATCCTCACAGATACTGTAGGCAACCAACAGAAGGTTACATGGCATCAATGCAATTAGGAAGATCTTTCCTACCCTTTAAACTCTACTGTCAAGCTTGCAGGAATCCAGATTTTTCCAACTAACTGAGATGCTTTTGGAGAGGAATACTAAGAACTTCAGGAGCTTCACTGCAGGAGTACAGCTTTCACCACTGCCAAGTGGGTTTCACTGTGGGTTACAGTTTTGCCTTTTCTATGACAATTTTAGCACCCACTGGATACTCACTGAGTTCAGCAGTGATCTTTGTTTGCCTTTCTTACCGTGCCTCCCTGCATCCAACAATTCCAGGCTGTATGCACCCAGCAGAATGTTGGCTTGTCGCTGTAGAGATTTGCCAAAGGGGTGGCTGCCCTCAGATACCACATAGTAAAAGACACAGCCTGCTGAAAAGATGTCCACGGTGTACGTCTGCAAATAAGCAATAATTTATTATTTAATTAATAATAATTATTTAATTAATAGCAACAAGATTTTTCCTGTGGAGAATGTGAGTCTCATCATCAGGTGGTTATTTGCATCTGAGCACAGAATACGACTCAGAATCACATCTTGCTATTTAAGACTTGTTACTAATTGAAAGAAATGGCTACATGTAAATAAATACTTACAGACATACGTGAGAGAGAGAAGTAGAGTTTAAAAAAGGTAGTGCTAATGTACGTCAGCATGAGTGCTGGGGCATCCAGCACTGCACATCTTAAGGTCTGTGTGCAGCTGTGCAACCTGCTGGTTGTGCTGCCTTCTCGCAGGGAGGTCTGAAGGGAAGGCAAACACTTACAGGGTTCTCTTTGCAGTCTTCACTCAGCATCTCTGGGGCAATCCACCCTTCTG